ACTGGCGAATTTCGATATCTTACACACGTACCTTCAAATGTAGGCATGTGTTGCTTCACGTTAACTCGGGGCCATATCGTGAAGGCATTTCTTTAAATTGAACCTTGTTTCAAAACTAAATTGTTGTTCTTATATAATGACTTAGTTTGGCTATAATAACGGAATTTACATTAAATTACGGAACACAATCTGGTTTTCTTAAAACCAGCGGTGTTTCTTCTGTAGTCTAAACTGGCTTCACATTGACTAACACCACTAAAGGAATAGATTGTAACGTGGTGTGTCATGTGGCTGAGAATCGTAGTTTATTGGTTTAATATCATGCGTCTAATCCTATTTATTTTTTGATTTCAGCTTGATTCCACGCTGTTTATTTTGGTAAAGTATGGAATTTTCAGCATGGGATATCGGTAGCCCAAATTTTGCAGGCCAACCATAGATATAATAATAATAATAATAATAATAATAATCATAAACAGCTTTATTCCAAACAGTATTTGTGGTACAAGTATGGAATTTTCAGCGTGCATTACAATATATTGCATCTAATTACCTCATAAATTTTATAAAATTTTAAAGGCAAAAAGCAACACCCAAAAAAAGATAAAGAAAAAGAAACAGCGTTGCGTTTACATTTTAAACAATGCACCACAGGATATGAGGTATAAAATTGGTGTGTAATAGAAGATAAGAGCAACAGTGTAATAGTAACGACGAAAGGAAAACAAAAACTAATGGGACTATTTGTTAGAGTGCCGCAGTAAGTTGATCGTGTCATACCTAATGGATTTCTCATCACATAACAGCTGTACCAGATATGGTATTGTGGAGTTTTGTACTTGGTAGTCCTAGCATATAGCCTCCTATAGCTGCTTCTAGTTCTACCAGATGAAATTCAAGGAGAAAGCTGCGTATAGAGAGGGTGCTCGGGGTCTGACAATATTGTATTCGCTAGTTTCTTACATGACATAATATGTCTATCCACAATAGTGTTAACCAGTTGGTTAAACGATAACCCACTTGCCCTACTAACAGCTTTTAGTGCCCTTCTCAGCGAAGCAAAGTCTTTCTTAAGTAGTCCAGGAAAGACTAATGGGGAGCAGTAAAGGAGGATGGGTAGAATACAAGAATTTACAAACTGAGAAGGTAAAGACTGGTTTATGCCAGACTGCCTAAATTTCCTAATGTAGAACGTTAAGCGAAACATCTTTCTAGTAACTAGCAAGATGTGGGAAGACCAGGAAAGATCGGTGGAAAAACTCAGCCCAAGGTACTTAACATAAGATGTATTTTCAACCTCTGTGTCGTCAATGAGAGTGGGGCCATGTGAGCTAACTAGTTGCTGTAGGTCACATTTACGTCTGAAAGTGAAATTGACTACCTGACATTTAGACGGATTTAGCTTAAGACCGTTTGAAGAGGACCACTGACTAATTTCCGACAGAAAGCTATTTAATTTGGAACAATCTGACTGAGAGTTGACAGGCATAGAAACAGAGAGGTCATCAGCATACTTAACAAAAATTGCTACATCAGAATGAGGCAAGTCATGTAAGAAAAAAGAAAACAGAAAAGGAGAAAGGACAGCACTTTGAAGAACACCAGCTAATGTGAGTAAGGTAGTGGAGGACTTTCCATTGTAGACGGTGTACTGCTTCCTATCAGAAAAACAGGAATGCAGCCACTTATTTGTCCAGCTCTCAGCCTGTGTTGCAGCAAGCTTACTTAGCAAGAGAGACCTAGGAACAGAGTCAAATGCAGATGTGTAATCAAGGAAGGCACAGCGAACGTATTTAGCTGCTTCATCTAAACTAGAGACCATACTATGATGTAGGACAACAGCGGTATCCAAGGTACACCTACTATGTTTAAAGGCAAATTGGTTGGGGTCGTTGAAAGGCTTAAAAGAGGGTTCAAGATTAAGTAAAATAAGTCTTTCCATAACTTTCAAAAAAGGTGGGGTAATAGCAATGGGTCTAAACTTAATATTAGGTCCACCTGCTGATTTAGGCACTGGAAGAATCTTGATATTTTTCCATGAGTCAGGTATGATACTTTTGGAAAACGATTCGTTGAAAATGTCAGTTAATGCGGAACACAAGATATCAGCACACTTCTTAAGGATAACAGCAGTAACACCATCAGGACCAAGGCACTTAGTAAGTTTGAGAGATTGAAGACACTTGAGGACATCATTCGTATTAAAGCATGAGAAACAGTCATTATTTACAATATTTGAGTTAGGAGTCATAACATCTGCAGGGATACATAAGAAGGATTTATTAAGCATGTCTACATCGACAGAAGTATCATTGATTATTTGCTTACCACCTGTGATTTCCTTTAATAGCTTCCACATATTAGATGGGGATTTACATGCGTTGGCAGAGAATCAAACCCCGGACCATGTGCCTGGTCGGTGAGAGTCTTAACCACTGTGCCCTTGGCGCACTGACCTATGGATATATTTCTTCCTTCACAATACATTATGATATCTAGAATTCAGGAGCACAATGTCTTTGGCAGAACTAGTTGTACTTTGCGACTAATTGGTGAGTCACCTGATGTTTTAGTAGCAGAAAAACAACTTCAAATCTAATTATTTTCTAGATATGAATAATATTATTTTAATTTAGTCACAATTTAACATTTTATCAAGAAGCTCTTAGAGATATCAACCTTTACTTAGGAATTAAAAACTAAAAGTAAACGCCATGCCCTTAATTCACCGATATACTTGTGAAAATCAAAATAACGCAGATAATCACCATTTTGTTGTTGTTGCATGAGCTCACGTATAAACTTATCCAAGATCATCATGAATATTATCATTGATATTAAGCATTCCTTTCCATCTTCTTCCCCCATTTCAAACACTTTTCTCTGCTTTCCGTTGTGAATCGCTTAGCATGTACTATTATCAGATAATTGTTGGATGATCATTACAAATGTTGGTGGCGCTTCACAGCATTGAAGCAGCTTTCACATTATTTCGTGCTCGACACGATTGGAGTTCTTTTCAAAGTCGATGAAGCTGGGGTAGAAAGTCGATTGCTATTCTATGCTCTGTTCAAGAATGTTGGTGCCTAGCGTTGCAGTCGGGTCCACATATGATTTGGTTTTCTCAAATCCAGACTGTTCTTAACGAAACTTTGAATTTGAAACATAGTTTAGTCGTTCCAGCACGTTGTTGTCCGAAGATTTGCTTGAGGTGTGCAGCAGCTCGATTCCCGGTTAGTTCTTGGAAATTCTCGAGTTTCCCCTCTCCACAGATATGACATGCTAGACCCTCTTCCAACCAGGTGGACACCTTCTGCAATGGTCGTGTGAGCGTATCCGTTGAAGTCTCTCTGTCCGTATTCACTGCTCCTGGTTGAAGTCCATCTAGTCAATGGTGTCTTCTCAGTTTTCAGTAATTTTATGGCATTCGATTCTCCTGTTTTGTGGGAAGATTGGTGTTCACTTGCAATTACTTTGGTTGTTGGAGTTATTTCTATGCTACATTTCTATGTGCTGCATTCAAGATTCTTTGAAGTGATTGGCTCTTTGTTTTCTGGTAATTACGTTTTGTCTATGTTGGTCTCTTCCATGATTGTCACCTGGTTATCTGATGACGTTTTCTGTGGTGCCTCCTACGTGTAAGCTTTTCTGCTTCACTTGTTAGTTTATCGGAAAACTTTTATCTTTATGAATGTTCACTCTAATTTTTCCAAACAAACAATCACGCACACACACCACTCTGAATCGATAAGAACAATTTTACTATTCAACATGTTATTCTTATATTGTAGATGACACCGACGCTTGTATCTCCCTAAACGGTGCATTTAACATAGTATTGCGAGTATGCTTCAAGTTTACCAAGTGCTTGGATTACGAACAAGAATGTCACCGGGATAATGACTGTCACGGCGGATTACGCTATGAAGGTCTCTGTTGTGATAGATAGTTCATTCACACTTACCTGGTTCCAATACATGAACACATGAAGTCAACACCACATTCACAGCGAATTTCACCCAACTTCACAAAGTGCTTCGATTCGTGCAATTCCTCATATATACGTGTTATACTTTGGAGCCCTTCGAGCGTCTATTGGCGGTAATGTTAGTCCACTCTCCGTTCAATAATTTCCTCTCTGTACCCACTTTACCCAAAAAATATTCCAAATGAGTATTTGACTTCCTTGCCTACTGCACAATGAAATCTTTGCTCTGTTGTCTCCCAGTTTCTTTGTGCCTTCTTCACATTCATGTGTCGACTGTTATCAGAGTGCAATGCATGTTTATCTTTTCGTGTCATGGCGTTTCAAGTTTATGTCAACTTGGAAGTATTGATTTCTATTAACTGTATTCTTTGTAAGCGCTGCATGATGCAACTTTATTCCAGCGAACTGAGATAAAGTCCCGTTATAGCTGCATCTCTCATAGACAATATATTCAGAATCAATGTTCAAGGCATATGCGCGTGTATAATAAAGCGATAGATTTATTCGAATAGAATATACACAAAATAATTATTTAGATGAAATCGTAGATGACATTGATGAAGGAAATACAAGCCTCTGTGTGAAACGCATTCAATATCTGAAGCCAGTGAAAGAGTATGACTACGGTTGCCAACATGTATTTCCATTAACATCAATTGTAAATGCAAGAGAACGCAATCTAATGCATACAACAACATATGATTCAATGGTAACCGTCTGTAATAGATTAACAGTACCACGTTTCTAATCCACTGTCTTTACCAATTTTATCATTATTCATGAAAAAATCTCATGCGGGATAAAATAAGTTATATTTACTCAAAATTATTACCACATCCAATACAGGTCATTGTTTACACATTTGTAAAGTTGGATGTTCATCACTTCCATCAATAAGATGTGCAGTTTTATGTTTCTTGCGCTGACAGTCAAATGCTGTGATGCACAGCTTAGACTACAAAATATCTGTCAACCAGAGGATGGTACTTCTACTATCCTGTCGTGTCTTTCGTTATGCGGCTTTACCTTCTGTCTGGTGATTTCTAATTAAACGAATGGAAATATTAAGTTAAAGGAAACATATCAATTGATAATATCCTGGAAAACGTGGGATGATATTGTGTGGAAATAACCTATAACATTATCACTGGCATTCCAGAATTAATGAAAGTATTGAAACTTTCTCGCTTAACACATAAATGCAACTGACATTAAGGCTGATCTAAGTAATAATAGTTTCCATGTTGAGGACACAAAAATGCTACTCTTGTTAGTCCTCTCTGCTCATGGTTCCAGTAGACCACAGGAAGTGACATGGAATGACTAGTGAAATGTATGTGTAGCGAATCTTTGGAGCCAATCATCGGAATAGAGCTTGGTTTCTACACATCGGTGTGCACGCGGTGACAATGCGAAGTTTTATGTACATTCTGATCGTATGATAATTAGTGATCAGAGTGTCTGTTTAAATTTTCATTTTATTTAGAATATCCACCGGAAAATTAGAGTGAAAACAGGACGTTCATCATGAAATATATTCCAGTAATCTCAGTTATACATTTGCAAGTTGAATACACTTCGATTCTACATAGCAAGAAATGTACGAGTATTGTTTAATTGAACATGGTGGCAGTGGTGAAATTGATTGGAGATAATAATTATTGGGCGTGTTGTGTGAAATTCGCGAGTGTGATTTTGAGTGAAGATTATTCACAAAGGAGGAGAAAACCAAAATTCTATGGACTTAAATCAAGAAAGTATAATACATTAAGTAGCTTTTCCGAATGTATGGTTTGGCTGAGTTGCGCATAAAGACGAATCAAAATGATACTTTGTATTAGAAAGGGAAGGGGAATGTATGCAAGCTGTACCTGTGAGGCTACTGAGAATGGAACCATTCAAGAGATATCTTCAGCTTAACTTGCTTTGTAAATGTATTAGTTATAATCTACCGGGTAAATCGATGTGTCCAGCACAATATACAACAGTGAGACATCGTGTGGAACAGTGACAAGGTTACGTGGTGACGTAGATGCCTATACAGACTGAGATCCCTGAAATTGAGTACATAAAAAATTCGCACTTACTTTAAAACTTCAAACTAAGATCCTAAAAAGCATGAATCTTGAAGTATCATTAGCTCCAATGGAAAGATATACATACAGGAATACTTAAAGCATGCAGAGTTGACTAACTACTGAAGTGAGTATCGAATTTCTACACTGAGACAATCTGTTAGTTATGACATGGCAAAGAGAAATTTCATACTTCAGATCCACCTACTATACTGTCATAGAATATTGTATATCGTTAAATCCTGCATACAAAATATAATGATGCAATGGAAACTATGATTTAGGTCACATCATAGTCACTCTGCTTTTGCAAGTTGCATAACTTAATAATAATATTCCGGCCTGCATTAACTTTCGGCTTAGAAGTGCACTCTTGTCGTCTTAAATGAAAAGTTTTCGTACACAATTACCACTTATCGAAGCTGGATATTCAAATTTTCACAATAAACCACACTGACAGGCATGCTGCAAGACTTGTCAGGAAAGTAAGATCATATATTAAGCAGAATTTAGCACACGATTCTCATTACAGTTCACTAGCATTCCGGATATGATAAGTCGTCATTAATTGTGTTGACAAGTGCAGCTCATGCTTTAAAAGCATTATTTCTAACCTCAAGATTAGAAAATATCTTCTACTTACATTTTTACTCATTTAATTTTATCGGTAAAATATTCACTCAGATTCCGGATCCAGATGGTAAGATAAAGACTTACCTGGCATTTCCATGCCCATTTGGATGAACCAGAAATTTACTCAACTTTTTCAGATCACTCCTAAAATTCGAGTATTTATTCATTGGATTCCTGAAAGCGGTTGGCAAATATAAGATGAAATTAAAAAAAATATTTGGAGATAAATGGTCATAATTTCAATTTAAACAAGTGCGTGATCAACACATGAAATGCTTCAATGTCGTTTCAAGGCCATTTGAGAAATTCTAGAGTGTATTGTTGTTGACAGGGCACATACCTTGATAACGCATACTGTACTTGGAACGAACAGATATTTGGATGAATTCTGCATCATCTACCTGTGATTCATTTCAATAGATTAATTTCCCTAATGCAATCGATATTCTGACAAGGTATCCACGTGTGTAGATTATTTGGTGCCATTTAGATACAGTATTGAAGAGACTTTAAACGTTGGCAATGATGCAGAAATTAGACATGAGGATTTTCGGAGCTAACTTTATATATCTTAGACACTTTTTCGCGACTACAGAAAAATTTCAGTTGGACATTGTTTCTTAGTGAATCATTTATTCTCAATGCGAGATGGAGAGTACCAGAGTCAGTGAAAGGAACCTGTAATCTCAAATGTGCATAAATAAACAAATCATGGAAACAGAACAACTAATTAAAACAGCAGTTACATCACCAAGTGCAGTGGACTCCGCTTTCGGACATATCTCCCGATTCCATGATGTTACTAGAGAAACTTTGAATCCAGAAATAAAACAGACAACTTCCTTTAGATTTCGCCTGTTGGTGGTGATTGGCAATTCTGGTATCTAGTTAGGTATCTTCACCACCCTTGTCTTCTCTATATTGGTCTGAAGTCCTGCATTCGCCGGCTTTTCTGCCGATTTTTCGGTTTTCGCTTTTATATGTTGGGATTTCCGCACCATTATAAATAAATAGTCCATTATTTATATACATTTGTATATAAATGAAAGAACAGAGTTGTGTGAGTAACTTGATATGATTATGAGCAGTAGTTTGTGCCCAAAACGTTATCAGTTAATATAACTGTACAACACTGTGTAATTTATCAAAATAAAATCTTATCCATAATGGAGTTATACTCTACCACAGTGCACAAGTTTTATACTTATATCAAACACATATAACTTACCGAAATTGGGATCTTCGACTTGAAGTTTTGTCTGGTAAAACGTCAGTCAGTACATCCATAGTCAGTGATGGTAAGGGCTGTTTCCAGTAGTCGAAATACGAAAATACAGCTGGAGTAATCATTCTACTGAATGTGTTTAAATATTCTGAATCTCGGTGCCACTGACGCCTTTTCTGAACACCTGGTGAAATTTCATCCTGTGAAACATTCGTACGATTAACCTGTTCCAACACTTTTTGAAAGTGACATAGGGCAGACTTCAGATATTTGTGCAGTTGGTCTTCCTGCAACTCAGCCCATAAATTGGGCAACACAATTCCACTATCTGATGGTATATTAGCTATGTGATTCTGTTGTGCGATTTGTAGTTGCTCTTTCGTGCAAAACTTGTATGCTCCAACATCTTCAGGCATAATTCCATAGTGGTTTAATAGAATGACTAGCTGCAAATGTTTCACACGTAGCCGAGACAAGTTGATTTCGCCGATTTCATTTCCTCTGAAAATTCAATAACATTTGTTGTTTAATAGAAATACAGTCGGGTGCATATCAACAGGCTGTTGTATCCCTTCCACTCTAAGTCAGTAATACTTAAAATCATCCACCCGGGTTAAGTTATCTCTTACTTGTCAATTAGCTTAGAATACTTCCCTGAAACGTTTAGTTTTGCACAACTACAAATTATGTTCATACTATTTTCTATATTGTTTCGTTCATTCAAGGGAGAATCAGTTCGTAAAACAAGTCACTCAGTAAAAGCAGTAAACGAGAACCACTCAACCAACAGATATCCGAAGATCATACCCTTCAATGAAGAAAATATGTCAAAAGTTCAAACCAACGATTATAGGATGAAATATTTGCAGGGTAATAAAATACAGAGTAATTATGAAGACAAAATTGCTCATCGTTCATCTGGTGCTATTTAGAGTTAATGGCGGACTCCGTGAGTGTATACCTATATATACTTGCAACTTTGAGATACTGCGAAGGTACACTTTCATTAGCTAATTATGGTACGTGAGAATTTAAAAGTTCAGTGCGTCGGTGGCACAGTGGTTAGGACTCTCGCCGACCATGCACATGGTCCGAGGTTCGATCTCCTGCCGACGCACACCTGATATCTATGGTCGGCCTGCAAAATTTGGGCTACTGATATCACATGCTGAAAATTCCATACTTGTACCAAAATATACAGTGTGGAATCAAGTTGTAATCAAAAATAAAAATAAAATGGTTCCTTGTGTAGCGTTGACGAATCAATAAAGGTCCTGAGTTCGGGTCCCGGTGGGTGCGTACTGGTGAAGAGTCCCAAACTAGGACGAAACAGCTGTCCAGTACTCTCAGCTGGTTTTCCAATGGTTCTCTAACTAATGTCAGCTCATGATGAAATCCTGTAAATCAATTAATCAGCCTAATCAACAGTTCAGTGTCTTAATGTGTGAATTAATGAGGAGATTGAAGAGGAAGAAGAAATGTTCACTAATTGACATAATTTCCTAATGAAACAGCTTCAGTCGAAATATTTGAGTGATGGCCAAGATGACTGGATAGGTTCAATAACTACTCTCTGAAACTGACAGCAGCAGTGTCTGGATAGAACTTAAGTACTGCAAAGTGCATCTAAAAAACAGACGAATAAGACAGGAAATATAACAAAAGCAGACTGGCTGATTGTTCATAGCCTACTAAAATTTCAGTGGTGGATCGAATATCGCAGTCCACGACCACATTCCAAGTTTAGGCTCATCATGTTTGCAGGGAATACATCATGGTGGAAAGCTAGTGCAACTGGATAAGCACTAAAACGCATGCAACGTTTAACAAAGACAGCTGAATCAGACACACACGCCGCTTTTGTTTTATCACTCTCTGTGTTATGTACTCGTCGCCAAATTATTGCTATGTACTGGTCGAGAATTCAATAGTCCTGACGCAAGAAGGCGGAAATCAGAAGACCACTAGGTTTGCGATGATACTTCTATTTTTCAAACACAAGGAGAAGCTATAAGTGGTATCACACCAAAGATAAGTAGACACACAAGATTGTGTGAGCGAAATGTATATGAATGTCCAGACAAGTGTGTGAACAAATCAATGGACAGTCTTAACATGAATGGCTAATTATAATGAAATATCGATCCATATATACATAGCGAAATATAGCAGACATGTCAAGAACCACCATATATGGATATATGTCACCAAGCAACGGACTGTCAACAAACACTCATATTATATATAATATAAGAGGAATATACATTGTTAAAGGAGACAGGTTCATCAAAGTGAAATGGTCACAGACTAAGCGAGCAACAGAAAGAGAGATCACCATACACACACACACATATATATATATATATGGATACATATCACTCTGTCTCTCCCTCTCTCTCTTTCCTTATGTTTCATAAGGCAGAAACACTAAGTGAAATCAACACAAATCTCATCAAGTAAAATATGACTTACTGCATCTCTCCAGCTGAATTCATTCCAAATTGCATAAGGTCTTCTAAATAACCCAACTGTCTATCGGCCTTTTCTTTCAAACACTTCAACTTTACTGTGGCGTTCTGAAGTGCATTCTCCTCCATTCGAAAAATGACATTAGATTCAGCCTGATCTCTGAAAGAATGTAACTTCATAAAATTAAATTCATGAGATGAACGTTTGAAGTGTTTTAAGAGATAACCTAATTTTGTGTTCATAAGTGAAAAAGTAACAAGAGCCGTTCAGCTCTAACGGTCTCATTTCAGTGGCTTGCTTGAACCATCCATTTCCATACAACACAATGCATACAGTTTTCTCTGTTTGTCTCTCTTTTAACCGTTCAATTATGCCGGTGGATTTTCAGGTGTGTTCACTCCCATTTTATTAGCGTTCAGCCTACTGCTGCACATTTCTCGGCGATGGAAGAAAAACCACAACAAAGGATTATTTCATAATTCAGATCGAATAGCACTGCTTCACGTGATTTACTCTAGCTTGAAGATCTCGGACGAAGACTGAATATTATGCAATGAACAGCACTAAAATTTCTCCTTCCGGTAGATGTGTTTTGCAGTTTAATTCTGTTGTTTTATCTATGATTAATAATCCATGAACAGGTACCGCTCTTCTTGGGTCAATTTTATGTGGATTCACTAAAAAATGGTGACTTTTCCTGCCTTCATTTGATTTGCATTGAGGCAGTGAATGCTGAGTGCAAGGTAAACATTAAGGAATATCTGTGTATCGCCTTTACTGCCTGTACCAATTTTGTGCTAGTATTAGGTTAATGTCGATTAACTCAATCCACCATGGTTAGCAAGATGGAGCTCACTAGATGCTACCACTATCACAAACAGACTTCTGTTTTAACTAAGTAAAGCACTACAGCAAACAAAACACATTCGACTGAAAGATATCAGCAAATTGAGAGAAATTCTTCTATTTATCCTCAAGTGTTTTGCGTTAGCTTACTTAATACTGGGAAAGGACCTTGATGCGCTTTTCGATTAGTACGCTAAATTTGCTCAGTTACATAAAACTCTTATTTCTGTGGCGTTTCTTTCCAAGAAGTTGTGGAACTTATTGTAATTATTTGACTTTCGAACACTGAATCTGTGGATATAATCTTGTTGACTGATAACGCCTATAACTATGTGTTTGGCATTTTGTGACTGTTTAACTCTAACTACTGTCTATAGTTGTATACATTAATGGATTTATGTGTCTAAGTCGGCCAAAGCCAGTGAGTCTATGGTTTTGATATCATTTTTGTTAACTGTATCAGACTGTGATACTACTGCTACGGTTTTTTATTGTTTTTATCGCTACCCTTCCTGTTGTGAATTTTTTTCTTTTGCTGGTGTTGGTTTGATTGCTTTATTTGTTTCCCTGATTCTAAAGGGAGCAACCCATAAGGTTGCTCCTCTGTAAATTATGTATTAATGTAACAATCTCCTTCTCAGGTATGAGGCTAGAAACGTCACCCTGTAAACAAAGTTGTAAAGGAAACGTCACCACAATCAGTCTCCTTGCTACAACAGAAAAAGTCTATGTGGGGACATGGAACGTCCGCACCATGTACGAGACTGGCAAAGCTGCCTAGATTGCAAACGAGATGAAAAGATACGAAATTCAAGTATTGCGAATATGCAACAGCAGAGAGAATGGGATTCGACTCAACCAATTGCCAACGAGACTCGATGATCTACTCTGGTCATGCAGAAGACAACCACATTCACACACCGAAGGTGTGGTTATCATGATGTCACCAACGGAAACGAAGGCCTTCATACAATAGGAGGCGGCCTCACCCAGGATAGTGACCGCCAGATTCAACTCCAAAGGAAGGAAAGTGTCAATTACACAATGTTATGCACCCACAAACAACGCAGACCTCGAAAACAAAGAATAATTCCACATACAACTGCAGGCAACAATCGACAATACTCCAGATGGTGACATTAAAATACTAATGGGAGACATGAACGCCGAAATGGGACCAGACGACACAGGAAGACAACTCATCATGGGAAGAGAAGCTCTCGAAGAAATGGATTAAAATGGAGAACCCTTTGCCGACTTCTGCGACTTCAATGAACCAGAGATTGGTGGTAGCGTATACAAACACAAAGATATCCACAAGACTACATGGGTGTCACTTGACGGGCGAACAATAAACCAAATTGACTTCAGCTCAATCTCCAGGAAGTGAAGAAGCAGCTTACTGGACACAAAAGTAAGAAGAGAAGCCGACGTCGGCTAAGACCGCTATCTCGTGCAAGAAACAATCCAAATCAAACTGAAAGCTTTTAAAGAAACAGGAGCTGCAGATAGACCACAAGCCAAATTCAGTACTCAAAGACTGAAGGATCAGGATACAAACGACATCTTTGCTGCAATCATAAGGAAAGAGCCGGAGACACAAATCAACACTGGCCAAGGTACCAGCATTGAAAAACACTGGAACAACTTGAAAGTAGTGTAGAGTGAAACCTGCATGGAAGTTCTAGACAGAAAGAAGAGACAGGGCAAACAGTGGATCACTACGGACAAATGGAGACTAATAGAAGAGAGAAGGATTGTGAAACAAAAGGTTATCCGGTGCATCAAAGAGCAAAACAAAAACAGGAGTTGAATGCAAGCTGCAATACACTGAACAAAAGAGTAAAGAAGAGTGCCAGAGAAGACAAAAGAAAATATTAAGAAGGTATGGCGAGTGAAGCAAAACAAGCTGCAGGCAAAGGAGACCTCGCAAAACTCTACCAAACAACTGAGTTGGTGTCGGGGGAGACATCAACCCAAATTAAGCCAGTGAATGGTAACAATGGGAAGTCAGTCACCAAAGAGTTGGAGCAAAGGAAATACTGGGCTGAATACTTCAAAAGACTTCTAAACCAACTGCCACTTACAATGCGGCCAATAATACCAACAGCGGAAGCAGAACTACTAGTGGGCATCAACCACCCGACGAGAACAAAAATCCTAAAGGCAATCAAGATGCTAAAAGCTGGAAAAGAAGCAGGACCAGACGAAATCCCAGCAGATGCATTGAAAATGGACCCAGAGACATCAGTGGACTTGATGACACCACTACTAGAGAAGGTGTGGAAAGAGGTCAAGGTACCTGAAGATTGGAGGAAAGGATACTTATTCAAGCAACCATAGGAAGGAGACTTAAGTCAATGTAAGAACTGGCGCGGCATTATGCTCCTGTCCATTCCAAGCAAAATACTAAGCCACATCATCCTGTAGAGAATCAAACACACCAATCTGGATGAAAAACTTCGACCGGAACAGGCTGAATTCAGGAGGAACAAGTCATGCATCAATCAAATCGCCACACTACGGATCATCATTGAACAGAGCTTGGAATAGCAGTCAGCTCTCTACCTCGCTAAACTTCATCGACTTTGAAAAGGCCCTCGACAGCATCGATAGAGAGGTGATTTGGAAACTGTTTCGCGACTATGGGTTGCCGTCAACAATTACACACCTTATCCAACAGTTGTACGATAATGCTGCATGCCAAGTAATGCACAACGAGAAACTCACGGAATCCTTCGAAGTGAAGACGGGAGTAAGACGAGCTGACTTCCTACTATCTCCAATGATTCCCTGATTATGGTAGACTAGATAATGCGACAGACAGACAGACAGCGGGCAACGAGGAGACAGGCATAAAATGGACCCACACAAAAAACTTGGAGGATCTGGACTTCACCGATGATATATGTCTGATTTCCCACAAACCGAAAGATATGCAAGTGAAAAGCAACAAGTTGGCAGAAGAAACATCAAAGAAAGATATGAATTCAGGCGAACATAGAGAAGACATAGGTGATGAAGGCTCCAGGTCAACAGCAACAGCAGCAACAACAACAGACAGCAATCAGCATAAATGGGAGGAATCTGAAAGGAACAGCCTCCTTCACCAACCAACCAACCAACCTACCTACCTACCTATCTGGGAAGCATTGTATCAACTACAGGCGGACGGAACTGATGGAGATATCAAAGCGGGGATCGGGAAAGCAAGGCAAGCTTTCATTTATCTCAAGTCTGTATGGAGATTAACAGCACTCAGCATGGGAAACAAGATCCGGATTTTCAACTCCAATGTGAATTCAGTACGGATGAAAGACTTAGCGCCGCGTCACGAAGGGCACTTTGAACAAACTTCAGACCTTCATTAACAGCTGTCTTCACTCATTACTCAAGAACAGATGGCCAGAAAAGACCAACAACTGGGATCTCTGAGAGCGAACCAAATCATCAGGAACTGATTGTGCAACAAATATGCATAAAGAAATGGAAGTGGATTGGGCACACTCTGAGAAAGCAAACCATCAAGTGACATCACAAGATAGGGCATTGCTCCAGTGGAACCCTAACGGGAAGAGGCGAGTTGATTGTCAGTGCAAAGGAGACATGGAAGAGGTCATGTGGGGAGGATATGAAATCATGTGAACAGACGTGGAGCCAAGTGAAAACGTTGGAAAAAACTGAACGCAATGGAGACGTGGGGCTGAAGCCCTATGTTCCTCTAGAAACTAAAGGAAACAATAATAATAACACTACGTTTTTTTTTTTATTTATTTATTTTTTCCTTTTTTGATTTTAAAAATCTTATAAAATTTATGAGGTAATTAGGTGCAGTATATTGTAATGCACGCTGAAAATTCCATACCTGTACCACAAATACTGTTTGGAATAAAGCTGTTATATTATTATTATTAATACGGAAATCAGTGGCTTTTCAGGGTTCAACAAAGTCCAAGTGTATGTCATGGTGTATCAGATACCTTTCTCATAAATCATTTGATGAAACTTTACTGTTAAGTTAGGAAAAAAAAGTTTATAGGTTTGGAATCCATGTATACAAGTCTGAGTGTGCACAATGTACATTACTACTGAAACGTGTAAATTAGTTACTCAGAGGCTGCGTTGAAAATGAATTCATCTGCTTAGAATTGTCATCGGGGTGTCACCAGTGTCTGGTGCCTGGCGCTTAGCGGTGCGATGTAATCACTGGTCTAGCAGTCTAGTAAATATAGTGTTCCTTCAATTTTTATCATTTTGTTGGAGGAAATCGGTAGGTAGCTTTTGGATTCCTTAAACAGTTCCTAAGCAAAGAGGTGCCTGTCAACTCATCATGAGTGACAATATGATAGTGCACATGAATATGACTAGTTTGTATCATGAAACCCATTTACAGTAGTAGAGAATTTAAAATTTATTATATATATACAAATTAACTTTTCAAATATTTCACAAACCACAGTTCACCTCAGATCTTCATTTATCTCCCATTGTTTCAGTGCTTCAGCTTCTGATATTTCCTTGCTTAGTAAAACTGTAGGCAAACCTTCATGCACAGAATTTCGGCCTACACGATAGAGTCGACTCCCAGCAGTTACACCAAGTTTCGCGCGTAGTCTTTGTTTACGTATTTGTCGATAACGGAGTTGACGTAAGAATAACTAATAAGGATAGAACACAATCCAATCTCTGTGATATTTATTTAAAGGCAAGGAAAAAAGCTATTTCTAAGACAGTAAATATAAGATTGAAGGAGATAGCCTATCTTGGATGCATTTTCTTCAACAGATGATCTGTGTTAATTGTTAAGCCACTAATTCACCTGACTGTTTCCATTAAGTCTACCATCGATATACCGTTATCATTATTCCTATTACTTTATAACTTATTCACTTTTTATTATTAATGCAAACATCCTCAATGTTATGATGCTAGATCTTTGTCACGAGGTAACTGCTTAACTACTGACTAGTGCCCACTTAACTGGTAAAGCAGAACACGCGAGAATCAGCGGTAAAACTAGGATCATTTATTATGACAAAAGTGACTGTATTTATACAAAAATAAGGTAGACTGGAAATCAACCAATCCGGTTGAGAGTTTGGAGTTGTGCAAGCGTCAAATCAGAAAGCAGAAACAAATGCATGTCAACGACACGCTAATAACTTGACTGAGACATGATAATGACCTGATAATTGCATGATTTGCCTCTTCCTAACATTCAAGTTCTGTAGTTATTATTTTCCCTAACTGTGCAATGTCAAAATAACCCTAGATGTGATATTGTAATATGTACGGAGTATGCAGCAGAGTATGTATGAAAATCTTGTTTTCAACAAGTTTTTATCATCATGACTTCATTAAAGACTGAATCTAGGATCGTCACATAATCAGATGTCGCATGAGCGTTTAATTAACGTGTCACAACTGCAAATATCCAGGTTACGGAAACGATTTGTTTCTTATGCAAGAACTTGGAAGAAAACAACTTAAATTTTGGAACACCCACATCAAAGTTGAAAGAACCACTACTTAGATGCACTTTTAACGTTCAATTCACATTCAGTGGTACTTTTTATAGACAGAAAGATGGTGTGGCTATGGGTTCACCCTTAGGCCTGTTACTTGCAGATACTTTCATTGAAAGTTTGGAAAATGGTCCATTGAAACGGACAATCAACAACTCCTCTCTGTACAAAAGATACGTCGATAAAACTTATATCATCTGTGATAACAAAAAAGACCTGAATAATGTCCTTCAAATCTTTAATAGCTGCCGCCCAGCCATCATATTTACGATTGAAGCAAAAACTGGACAGACAATCTCATTTCTGGACGTCTGACTAACAAAGAAGGCTAATGGAACCTTAAAGAGATCAGCATATCGGGGGCCTACGTAGAACAAGCAGCTGACAGTTTACAGTTCAGTACCCATCAGTCGCAAGCGGAACCTGATAATATCTTTTGTAACTGGAATCCTCAGAATATGCACTTCTTAATCAGTAGAAGAGGAGATCACCAATTAAGAGTGGTTATACACCACGCTTTATAAATAAACACACAAAACTCAAAATCAACAAAGAACAACCCATCTCTGTGCCGAAGAAGATGCTGCACATGAATGTGGCGTTCAGAGGCGACCTTCTGACCGACATCTTAAAGAGAAGAATATTTAACGCTCTGGAATGAACATTCCCTGCCGCCATATTGCGATTGGTATTCTCAAGCCGTCCATTTTTCTTCAAAAACTTCAAAGACAAACTATCGCATATGACCGCTTTGGTGTTTATCTACCAAATTACTAGATCATGTGCAGCGAGATACATAGATCGTTCGATGGGTGTTTTATCCACAAGAATCAAAGAACATTATCCCGAAAACGGTGGGCTTCCGTATACTTTTCATTGCCAAAGCATTAGCGATGCAGATAGAAAACCCCGATTTATCCACACAGAAGAAACTTCTCCACCCTTTCCTTCTACCTTGAGTATAATTCCAAGCCCTACGACTTTCTTATTATTATTGCTCCGTTGGGTTCCTAGTGGAACATAGGGCTTCAACTGCACGTCTCCAATTGCTTTTGTCTTCTGCTGTACATTTCACCTGCATCCATGTTAGTCCATACTGTCTCAACTCCTTTTCACACGATCTCCCCCATGTCACCCTTGCACTGACGTCCCACTCACCACTTCCCTTTCCGGTTCCACTCAAGGGCTTGATGCGCGATGTCGCCCAGCGGTCTCCTCAGCGAGTGTCCGATCTATCTCTACTTTCTCCTGCATATTTGTTGGGCGATTGGTTCTTGATATGTTTGTTCCCATAGTTTCTTGTTGGTGATTCTTTCCGACCCAGCTATCTGATTTTCAGTATAGAATGAGGACAGTTGTTGATGTAGGGCTGCAACAGGCTGTTGGAAATATTCTTTGTGACCCGCCCAACAAGTTTCTGATCCGTATAGAAGAACTGACTGACTTGACGTTGTTTGTATTGAAGATCTGACCGAATTTAGTTGTTGATGCTGGCTGAGTGACGAAGATTTCCAGATTGCTTTCAGGTTGATGAATGTGTTTCTCGCCCTCCCGATTCTCGCTCGATTTGACATCCTCGTCTGTTCCAACTGCTTGTAGTTGAGACAATGCTTCCTAGATAAGTGAATGAAGTGACCTCTTTCAAATCCCTCCCGTTGATAGTGATTGGCGTTGGATGTTGCTGCTGTTGTTGGCTGGTTATTTTCAAAACCTCCGTCTTGTCGACGTTCACCTGGAGTCCTGTCTTTGCCGGATGCATCTTCAACCAAATTGTTGGTTTTCGCTTGTAAGTCTTCGATTTTATGTGACATCAAACATAGATCATCAACGCGCGAAATATAGGTCTTCTAGGTTCTTCGCGTCGGTCCAGGATATTCCTGTCTTCTCGTTTCCCACAGTCTGACGCATAATCCAGTCAGTCAACCACAATTAGGAATATAATTGGTGATAATAAGCACCCTTGTCTGACTCCTGTGTTTACTCCAAACGCCTTGCTGAGTGTTCCGTTGTGGATCACTTGACATATGCCGTTGTCGTACAGCTGTTGAATAAGGTTGATGAATATTTGGGGAACGCCTTAGTACTCGAGTAGTTTCCAAATTACTTCGCGGCCTTCTCAAAGTCTATAAAGTTGAGGTAGGGGTTTGATTGCCATTCCATGCTTTGTTCGATGATGATGCGTAGAGTTGCAATTTGGTCAGAACATGATTTGCCTTTCCTGAATCCAGCTTGTTCTGGTCGGAGTTCTGTATCCAGTGCGTCCTTAATTCTCTCCAGGATGATGCGACTCAGGATTTTACTTGGCGTCGACAGGAGCATGATTCCTCGCCAGTTCTTGCAGAGTCCTAAGTCGCCCTTCTTTGGTAGTTTCACGAGGTAACCTTTCCTCCAGTCAGTAGGCACCTTTCCCTCCTTCCAGACCTTTTGCAATAATGGAGTCAGCATGTCTGCTGTCGTCTCTGGGTCCACTCTCAGTGCTTCAGGGGGTATTCCATCTGGTCCAGCTATTTTCCAGCTTTCAGAAGCTTGATTGCATTCAAGACTTCAGCTCTCGTTGGAGGATTGGTGTCAACTTGCAGTTGTGTGTGCGCTGTTGTTGGTATTTCTGGACGGGTTGCAGGTGGTGGTCGGTTCAAGAGTCCTTTGAAGTGATCCGCCCATTGTTTAATCTGTTTTTCTTCCTTGGTAATTGGGTTCCCTTGGCTGTCTTTTATAGGTTTCGCTTGTGTTGATCTCTTCCCGGATAGAGATTTGGTTATCTGATATAGTGTCCTCAGGTCCCTTTTGCCTGCTGCCTTCTCAGCTTCAGTAGCGAGGTTGTCGTAGAATCGTCTTTTGTCCTTCCTAGCACTCTTCTTCACTTCTTTGTCCAGTGTTGTGTAAGTTGAGCTCAGCATCTCTTTTCTTGTCCGTCCTTGCATTGAATCATTTTCTCTTTCACCATTCTCCTCTCTTCTATTAATTTCCAAGTGTCCGTTGAGAGCCATTCCTTGTCTTGTCTCTTCTTTCTTCCTAAAACCGTTGAACACGTTTCGTTGAGAATCGCCTTCAGAGACTTCCAATGTTCTTCCACGCATGATTCTTCAGTGATGTCGCGTAGTGTTTCCTGCTTTGCTCTGACAGTTGCAGTGAAAGTGTCTTTGTGGTTGTGTCCTTCAGTAATTGAGTGTTGAACTTGCATTGTGGCCTATCCCCAGCTATCCTCGAGGCTTTTAGTTTCACCTTGAAAGTCCCTTGTACTAGATAGTGGTCTGAACCCACATCTGCTCCTCTCCTTGACCTTGTGTCCAGTAGGCTCCGTCTCCACTTTCTTGAAATTGAGATGAAGTCTATTTGGATTTTGGTGTTTCCATCTGGTGAAATCCATGTCGTCTTGTGTATATCCTTGTGTTTGAACACACTGCCACCAATCACCAAATCATTGAAGGCGCAGAAGTCTGAGAAGAGTTCACCATTGTCGTTCATTTCACCGAGGGCCTCACGACCCATGGTGAGTTCTCTTCCTGTGTTGTCTCCTCCCAGCTTCGCATTCATGTCGCCCATCAGGATTTTGATATCGCCATTTGGGACGTTGTCCATTATTGCTTGTAGTTGTCTGTAGAACGCCTCCTTCTTCTCTTGTTCTGAGACGTTTGTAGGCGCATAGCATTGAATGACTGTAACTTTCCTTCCTTTTGAGTTGAACCTGGCTGTCATTATCCTGGAGGAGATTGGTTCCCACTGCATGAGAGCTTTGGCTGCTGTTGGTGACATCATGATGGCCACTCCCTCGGTGTGCTCGTGGTTGTCCTCTGGGTGGCCGGAATAGATTACTGTCTCTCCAGTAGGTAGTTGGCACCTTCCAGTTCCGTTCCATCTGCTTTCGCAGATTCCCAACACTTCTATTCTGTACCTTCTCATTTCAGCGGCTATCTGGGCAGCCTTTCCAGTTTCGTACATTGTACGAACATTCCAGGTACCCATCCTTACTTTTGCTTTCATCGAAAGAAGGCACATCGGCTGACTGGCTTCCCGAAGGCTTTCACCAGCCTGCGTCATTTCACTTCCCCGATTCCAGCGAAAAATAAGGCTATTGTTTATATTTTTAGAATTTTTAATATATTTATTCGTTGAAGTTTCTGTAGCGATTTGGTTGTTTTGCGGGGATGGAGTTGCTAGCACCACCCCCAACCCTCCCTCTTTATCCGGGCTTGGGACCGGATAGAAAACTAGTAAGCTAGTGGCCTAGCAAGCTAGTATCTGGTGAGGTTGTTTTAAATTTTCGTATGGCGTCTTAATGACATCTTTTTCTTAACCAACCCTTTATTTACTCTTTCAACCTATTACGTAATTTATTTACTGGGCACGTGTCTCCATTATCACCGTATTTCATAATACGCAACCCTTGTCAATACTAATTTTCATTCCCCCGAGTTAAAATTTTGATTATTCATCGAATTTTAGGAATATTTCGATGATATAAACAGTAACCCTAACTAATTTTTTACTTTTTCTTTGTTTGATAATCCCAGTGTACACATACACAAAGTAGTTATATATAAATGCGATTGTACAGCTAAATGAATGAATTCGTCGAAAAGAGACTCCGCTGAACTTTTTTGTTCTTATATTACAGAAATATCTTAAAGATCTGGATTGTATAATCATACCGCGTAATCCGGATTTCAGACTTTAATGAAGTCAAAATGGCAATTAAAAGAGAATTTAGTGTTATTAGGCAGTGTGATTAGATTTGACAATAGATGGGTATAGGCCATATGAGGGCATTTTATACTGTAGAAACAGGAGATAAATGCAATCACTCAACATTAGCTGGAAAGAATTGCGCGGTAAATTACTGACTGATTTTTATGTGACAGGAAATAGCATTTCATAAATGAATGAGAAAGAAAACTTAGACTTTCAAGACTGTTATGTATGAATATTATGACCCTGTAGACTACGAGCTAATCTAACTTAATGCGCTGGCTAATCTGTCCTAATCGCACGTCAACAACAACAATAATACCGCCGGGCACGCAAGACAAAGAAAGAAGACTGGACGTTGACACGAGAGCTTTTACTGTCTCTACAACAGTCGAAAATGTTAAACCAAACTGCGTATTTATACAGTTAGGAAAATCAATGTCACATCAAAAAAATATTAACAACCAATAAACATGCAGGTGCGAAAACTCAATACTGATGAGTCACCAGTGTATATATAACCTCCCTCTTTTTTTAAAAAGAAATTTGCAAACAGTTTAGTATCTTTTTCTCTTGGGGTCGATTTGAAAATGAACTGTTTGTGTTCGTTTGCGCTGAGGTCGTCGGCTGGGTAGCATCTTTTGTTTTGCTTCTGGTTTGACTGGTGGTATTTTGAAGGTTTCCAGTAGTAAATCCAGTGGCAATTTATGTTCTTTGGATTTAGTATATTGACTTCGTATCTGATTCTTATGTCTTATCCACCATTCATCTTCAACTTTAACCTTGTACATTAGAGTTCCATGTCAACATTATATCAGGCCTTTGACCCATTTCCTGTTCCTCAGTCGATAATCACGCACATAAACGGCATCACCCATGCGGTAATACTTCAGACTATTTCTTCGTTGATGTGACGAAGATCGTAACATGGAGTGGTGATAATTTCGTAGCATTCGACCCATCAGAAGTTCTGCAGGGCTTTTCTTCTGTTCTGCCAGTGGTTTGGTTAGGTATACAAAAAGAAAGTTTCGTATTGTTTCCGGTTTCGCCCCTCCCTCTGCTTTCAGCAACGCTCGTTTGAGGGTGTCCACAAATCTTTCTGCCTGACCTTTGGATTGAGGGTGATAAGGTGGCGTCCACCCGTATTGTATACCGTTTCTCTTGCGAAATTCCTGGAACGCTTGTGAGGTGAACTGACTGCCATTGTCAGATACGATGATTTCTGGTATACCGTGACATGCGAAGATCTTTTCAAGGACTGATATTGTTCTGCTACTAGAAGGTAGGGTAACTTGTAATATCTCCGGCCATTTTGAATAAGAGTCCACAAGAACCAAGTAGTATATACCCTCTATCGGCCCAGAAAAATCCACATGTAGGCAGGACCATGGTTTTGACTCAGACATCACTTTCAATTTTTGAGCAGAGCCCGTCTTACTGAAGCTAACAGCTGCTACTTTGTTGCTACCAGACATCCAAGCACCTTTGGCACAGCCATACTCACTATGACGATTCGAAGTTGGTGTTTCATTGATCACGTCATTTTTATAATGGGTTTAGGTCTAATATATCTGTCTCTTATTTCTGGCTTTATTGTTGAGGGCTCAATACTTTCGATCTTATGGCATACACTGCTTAACGGAATCTCTGATAGATGAAGCTTCTCGAACCAGTCTAAACCCAAGAGGTCAAGGTCTCAGTTATTGATGTAGCATGTGTCGACGAAATGACAATCGCGAAAACCAACGCTGCATTTTATTTATCCATTCAATCGAAGTCTTCCACCACATGCACTAAATGCTATCTGATTTGTCTTCTCTTTGGCAGGGCATCCCGAATTCTGCTATAATTTCTTTGATATTATTGTAATATCGGACGCTTTATCGATTTGTAGGCGTGCCGGTCGTGTATTAATTGCCATATCGATGTATTTGCGAGGTGCTGGAGTACTAATATGATATGCGGCAGTAACCCTCAAAGACTTGGGCATGTGGCGCCGTCTGGGTCGACTATGAGATCTGGGTCGGTTGTTGCGTTTGTGGTAACCATCTTTGTGACCAACAGTATGGCATCGACGCCATTTATGCTGTTTGAATGGGCACAAGTTTGCAAAATGCCCGGAGCCACATTGCCAGCAGGCTGATGGTGGTTTATGCTGAGGATGAAGCGATGCGGTTGATGTCGACGGTACTGGACGCACTTCTGCTGCATTTTGGCTGCCAGACTGCACCAGGGCGGTATCGTTATGAATGTTGATTAAACGCTGGCATTCTTCACCGATGTCTTTCAAAGTCATTCGTAGATCTTGTTCCAGACGATTTAATAGGCGTATGCGTATGTCAGCGAATTTTGGGGACTGCAAACCACAAATGAAAATCAATGCCTTGAATTGGCCTTTTGAGAGCGATTTAAATTGAAAACGTTCACATGTGAGATTGACTATACCCAAGTGAGTGTGGATATCATCATTTTCGTTCAGTACTAGTTTCATGCAATGATATCGAATGTTGAATAAATATCTCTGATCACCAAACTGATGATGAAGGGTATGGACAGTTTCATCGAATGATCTTTCGTTGGGCTTCTGCAGGTGTGGAAAATCTATATTGATGAGTCACCAGTGTATATATCAAAAACCCACCTTAATTTTCAAAATAATTTGATCCTTGCATTACTCTTCAACACTTACCTCTCGTGTGATTTTGCGCTTTTGTATGGACTTCAAATTTCTCTGCTGAAGTTTTTCTTCTCTCATTGACTTCATTTGACTCAGTGTATCTTGTATAAGTGAATTCAGATGGCCGGTTTTCTCCTTAGCTCGATTGTACAAATCTCTAGTTGTCTAAAATTACAAGTTCAACTTGTTGAAAACAAGAAATTGCACTGATTACAAAATCAACTTTGAACTCAATACATGACTTAGCTCACTTGTAGAGAACCTGAATATTGTTTCTCAGACAACCAGTTTGAAATATACTGAAACTCGAATTTTCATTCAATTTTACAACCACTTTTCTTTTCATCAATACGAGACTGCGCTCCGTTGCACAGATGCATCCACCAGTTGTCATCTCCTAGACCTATCACGTTTTCATTACTTTCCGCGTAATTATTGTTCCTCTCGTACATTTTTGTTTACTACAGTTTCTCTTCTCTTTCACCACCCTTAACTTCCATGTGTGCCTTGTGAGTTGTGGCGATCTGCAATGCTGAACTGTTGTGCACATCCTACATCTAAAAACCACATCAACATTATCTAACCAGCATTCACTGATTGTCAGTCACACTGCCATCACATAACGTGAATTTCAAATGAATGCATTGAAAATCTATTAACTGGTGATTTGCTATTCTCCCTGCACTTTCACCTCTTGTCAGTAATCAAATTCATAGTCATTGACAGTAGGAAAATGTTCTCCAGATGTCGGTGTGTAAGTCTGATGTGACGATGGATATGAAAGACACACCTTTATTATCACTACAATGCTTACAGCTGTCAACAAGTGGTTAACTTTCAGAAATGTTTAAAAACAGTAAACAAAGTGTAATAAAATGCAATAAGGAAAAGATAAATGATTGCGTAGGTATAAGTTTTGATGTTTTACTGACTAACCTCGTTCAACAAACGGATTTGCTTTTGCAGTTCAACAGCTTCTTGATATCGTCGCTTTGGGTATTATAGAGTAGCAGACATTTAGTAAAAATACACGGTGAAAGCAACAGGTCCATTTTGTCTTAAAAGTATACTCATATAAAAATGTTCAAGGTAATAAGCGAACTTAATGTTAGCCAACTGACTACATGTGTATGATGTATGCATGCACTTATTCTTAGATAACTATTGGACATGAACAATAATAATAATAAAATAGAACGTGGGCCAAATAGGGTCTCGATGAGTTTTGTACTTGCTTGTGCGAGCTTATAATCTTTTATAATGACTTCCAGTCCTACCTGATGAGATGCAAGAGGAGAGTTTTGGTTAAAGCGGTTGCTGAGTCAGGAAATATGGATTTGGCTCTTTTCTCTCATCAGCTCATGTGTCCATCGACCACAACAATAACGAGGTAACTTTGTGCCAAGGCATTTTCTTAGAAAGGGGCAATATATGAGGGAACCAAGTAGTATCAGAGGATAGAACTATTCCAAGGTGTTTTATGCTTGACTTACTTTCTGTTCCAGTGCCCTGTATGCTACAAGCATATTTTCAACGAACCACTTCGTGTAGATCACGTTTATGCCTAAAGGTGATGTTAACTGTCTGATATTTAGAGGAATTTAACACTAGACCATTTGTCTTGGATCAGTGGCTTATGTCTGACAACTGGCTATTAAGTTTGCAGCAGCCAGATCCTCAACATATTAACGGAGTTGATTTCTTCCAAAAGCAGCAAGTCATATCAGAAGAAAAGAAAAAAGAAGAGGGGAGAGAACAATTTTTAGGTGCTGTTCTTGGAGGCCTGTTTCAACGTTGAACTAGCAGAACTTCCTTCTTTATAATGCATCTAATTCCCCGTATTTTATTCGATTTTACATACTAATGTAAGTTTCGCATTTCTACGAAGTTTTTGAAGTCACACAACATGCCTTAATCAACCGACATCAGTAAAGGAATCATTTGTGTAAATCAAGGTAAAATGAAGCCTTGCAACATGCTTTAACTCCTCCAGTCAGTAAAATTCGAATAGCTTGAACGAATTGTGTGACATGTTGAGGTATATTTATTATCTCGAGAAGTTACTGAAAAGGAACACTATAGGATTCTTTGTTAATAAACTTGTCGAAATTCAGCTCTTTCACTTGCATCTATACTGTAACTTAAAATACAATCAGACGAAGTAATTGGCAATAATAACAATTAATGATACTGTTGGAGTTTATTTTACATTGAGAGACATTTCATTCACAGCAGTCTTATCGGAAAGACTTCATTCAACTCTCATGATTTAAAGAGACTTTCTATGTAGCATAGGATGCATCAAATATGAGAAAGCAAAATTTGAATGATATCATATTGCATACTTATTAAATTGATTCGACGAACTTCCATATGTTTTCAGAAGTCCAAAAGGCATAAGGACTAGTGAAATCTGAATATTCTCAACACTCACTACACATGATTTTTTTTCAGATTATAAGATAATTTTTGAAAATACTGAAGTCTCATATAGATATTTGCAATGACGCAAGAGAGTGTTTCATTACAGAGGCAGTATGCAGTTGTTAATTTCCTTTATCAGTCAACAGAAGGGGTATGCTGAACACGCAATACATATGGCATGCGCCAGTCTGTCGTACTGACAAACTCTCATGAAACAAACTGGAACAGGTATATAAACACGAATGACTAACTTTTTGCATTATGATAATGAATCTATTTGCCCAAGTAGTTTTGTATAAACTACACTCAGTAGCTTTAATTTTACACCGTGTTCTATTGCCACATAGAGTCATTTTGCCGTTCTTCATGTGATTTCAGATAGAGCAAAATCGCTCACCCATATTATACAACAATACTTCAACCAGAAGTAAACAGCAATATAGACCGTTTCACACAGGTATATAAGTTTAAGCTGGTATATTTCAAAACAGTAGAAATAAAAGAACAGCAGGGAAGTGTCATGTGGTTAAGATGTAAAAATATGAATCTGTCAGACTGAATAATTCGGAATGAGGGGCGAATGTGTACAGTACTCTGAGGATGATAAAGGCTATATATATACTCACCGATGTGAGTGGCTCTTAGCCATTATACCGGTATTACTATCATTCTAAGAACCACAACTAATTAAATACAGCTTTCAAAATAACTTAAATCTTGAATTGACCTATCGCTCCATTCATAATAATTTCACAACTTGGTCCCTTGTCAACAATGTTGTTCTCCAGGGTTGCTATGGATATAACGTATACTAGCAACTTCAACTAATAGAATTTCACAACCCTATTCATAATTCTTGCCCTACCTACCAATCCATTTGCAGTTTCATCATCCCAATTAATTTATGACCCCATCTAACGGGAACAAACAAATTCAAGACACGGCTAGTAATCTGGTGTTTTGTAATCTCAGCAGCTATGTCATACGGGGGTTGAGTAGAACACAGTCAGATACTGTTGATAAGCTCTTAGATAAGACAGAGAAATATGGATTGTTTTGTCATAACTTACTCGTTCAATGCTTGCTTTGATACGATCTGAACCACTGCCTTCTCCAGCATCTCCACAGCAAATCTGATAAGAAGTAAGATTCAAGACAACATTTAGTAATTTTGTACGCAAGCTTCGCTTGCCAGTTAAAGCAAATATGTGTTTACCAAGCATATGATAGTGGTGTGACTCCTGTATTTCAAAAGAAAACGGAAAAACATTCGATGGCTTACTGGCTCCAGTTCTGTTAATGAGTTGTTCGCGTACGAGACCAAATATCCGTCAACATGGGAGTCTTTTATTCACTGGAGAATGGACATTTAACATCCTTGTTGAGAAATACATTCTTGATACTAGACAACTTATTCATTCAGACACAATTTTCCATGTGAAAAAATTGACGAAGTAATAGTAGACTGCTATGTTATGATGTAGAAGCAACTGCAATCTATTGACTGGAACCAAACGAAAAGATTTTATGACACACTAGATACTGCCTTGGTTATTTATTGCTTTCTTCGTTTACCACTTTGTTACTTGTTTCTTCATCTTATCTTCCTTAAATATTAGTCCTCTTTCTTACCTCTTTCACTATTCTTTATATTGCAGTTTTCGTCCCTTTACCGCTCTTCAATTATTTTCCTCTCTTATATCGAATTCTCTACCTCCGTGAACTCTAACCACACGTTCCAGTCAGTATAATATCCGATTACTATTCTGTTTTCCCGACTGAATTTACACTATGCTATGTCATCCTGATAACAGGTTGTATTTATTAACTGGTCGATATGCCATTTCATTTTTGCTCAGATATACATTGATATATAGATGTGAAACAACTTATGTTGTAATTTTTTTGACAGTGGTTATCAAGGGGATTCGAGAGGCGTATTTTGTCCTATCTGGGATTTGTCAAGTGGATATATTTTAACCCCAGAATGACGGTGTTCTCACTGATACTCAGAACTAACAACTATCGTTTGAAAAGTCAAATTATTATCCCTATGGCTTCTAGGCTGTAACAGTCGCCTCCTGTGAAACTGGTATTCACTGTTATCTACTGAATATATTTTGAACTCCGTGTTGATTCAGTTTACTGAGCAGTGATCTGTTAATTTCACCATTAAACAGTATCAAGTTGTTTGCGATGGACAACGATATCTCAAAATATCAAACTGTACACAAATACTGAACCAGGCATATATGAAGAAGTTTAAAACACACGAAACGAAATGAGTCCATTTCAGACGGCAATTCTACTTGCTTATGCTGCACAGAAATCCACGAAGAGAACCAAGTGAATCCAATGTTATCTTAACTGTGAGCAACGTATAAATGAAGTATTTTTAAGCTAGGTCTCATCTCAAAAGGACATCAGTTGGAGAACCATTGGAAACCAGCGAGTACTTGCAAAAGATCAAATTCATGGGCCACTGGACATCTCCCCACAGGCTGAATAGCAGCATGCTTGCCTTGTAATTCGAAGTTCCTTAGTTCGATCCTTGTTATGGTTATGGGTGTTGAAGACTCACAGATTGGGACGACATCTATCATGAAATCAGTCAGTTCTCTATAAACCAACAACTGAAGTATTTGTAAGCGCTCAATTAATAACTCATATTTGAAATGTCTTAACATGTAGACTGAATCTACTGAATTTCCTAATGACTAGAACAGCAGTGCCAACCCTTCACTCATTAAAATTATTATATGATATGCCAGTGATGAAATGGATATGTGCACACTATTAACAATCATCTTAAATTGTCCTGAATTCACAGATGACCTATGTATTAGGGAGGCTTGCGCCAACGTTTGGTCTTTAAAGACTGTTCATCGTTACAGTAAACCTTCCTGAACAAATTCCGTGGATAAATCAAGCTTAGTGTACTATTGTTTCCTTTATTGATCTTCATTCCTATTTTGAACTGCAATCTAGCCTCACCCGTTAGTCTATTATTATCTCGTGAAACGAACAGGCATGCAGTTAGATTGTTCGTAATACAGTATGCAAAGACACTACACAACTCAGATTTATTGTCTTTCTATTATTGTTTTACCAAACTTCACCAGCTTTCAGGTTATCTATCCTTTATTGAAATTCTTATAAGTAACTGGTGCATACATTATCATATGATAGAGAAGATTTGTAGCTCAGGTGGATAATTTTGATGTGGTTTTGTTCTCTGAGCTGGATAGCAAACTAACTATCCAGCTCAGAGAACAAAACCACATCAAAAATACATTATCATACATCCAAACCCCTCTTCTAGTTTACAGCATACTGTGAATTCTGACTGCATGATTTGTACTTCCATCTTTTCATTTCCATTATACAGGTTGATTAAGTAACGCATGAGTTTGGCAAATTAAGAGGAGTTAGTAGGCAACACATGAATGTCTAAATCGACTGCTTAATAAATGACTAATCCAGGCAGAAAAACAACCTTTAAATACCTAAGAGAGAAGGCGAAATTGTCAGTTTATTACATTCATGTAATGATGTTTGAGGTGGTTGTGAATAGATTTCTTCTGGACACACAGGTTTTGTCTTCTTCAGGTGGATTCCAATGGCCTCAGTAATATGTAGAGGACGAATTTACAATGGAAGACTAAGATTTATTGGAATGCGATGAACAATGATCTAACTGAAAAGTAAGTATTCCTTCGCACAATCCTTCTGTCTCCTAAAAGCCTAAATGGAAATTATTGCAATAATATAATTCCGTGACTTTTAGGGAAAAATTACTACTATATAGGACCCTAGACACTGGATTCTCGTATTCTCATTTATTCTTCTAACTCACTTTACAGAAAATCTCTGTCTGCTGTGTTGGAATAGGAACTGAAAAATTCTAAATAAAATTACTAGTAACCTTGATGGAGTTGGACAAGTGATTAATTCTACTGAGATTCGAAATCAGCACTCATCGTTTGAAATGCCAAACCCTCATCCACATGTCCACTAGAGCCATCACTTGTTCGACAAAAAGTACTTAATATCATCCTTCATTCAATGTTCACTTTATTTTCGAATTCATTACAGTAAACTGAGGCATATCACTGCGGAAAATAGCACGTAAATGGTCACAGTGAATGAATAACTCACCATCTGTTCGTCATTTAAAGGTCTAAAATATAAAAATTAGGATTCAAATGACGAATAATATAGTAATAGTAATAATAATAATAATAAAGTTCTTACTTCTTGCTTAATTGACAAGCCTTCATTTTACACCTCGCATCCTCTTCAGGCACTCGAAGCTCTAGCAATCCATAAGGAGAAAGCTCAACTCATTTTTATGAGACGTTTTATCCAGCCTCTTTTACTACTCTAGTCTCAGTATCAATTTTATTTTTCTTGAATTGTTGCATAATAAACTTCAATTTGTTCTGGTTACCTATTTTCACTCCTTCACTCTCTGATCTCATATGAAATATTTCTGAATGTTCATCCACTACCCTCTCCATTACACCGGATAATTAACTATTTTTTTATTTAAAAAAAAATTAACTATTTTTCACACACTTACTTCCTATGCCCTTTGATATATATTGTTACTGACTTATAAAATCAATAACCTGCCGTCATGTGATCCTTGTTCGAATAACCTCTGACTTTTGTCGCCAGTTAATACTGTATATACGAATCTCGGAATATACACATTGGATCATAGAAGTTATTAAGAAGACAATTACAGCGAAGAAAATTTTCTTTTCGACCAAGTCATCATCTAGGCTGTACATTCGTGTATTTATATCAAATGGTTGGGAAAGTTCTAGAACAAGTTCCGGTTAAGAGTCAAGTTAATAAAAATTAAAATTAGGAATAAGAATGCCATAATAAAAGGGGGGGATGGAAAAAACAAACAAAGTAGCATCATAATAACTAAGAAGATTGACATTTTGCAATTAGGGGCTAGAAATGTAGAAATAAGAAAATGGACAGGATGTTCGGATAAAAAAACTAATGTGATGAATAATTGTTTATGCGGTCAGGGATTAAATATTGCACAGTGTCAATTATCTTATTTATTATGATGCTACTTTGTTTGTTTTTTCCATCCCCCCCCTTTTATTATGGCATTCTTATTCCTAATTTTAATTTTTATTTATTTGACTCTTAACCGGAACTTGTTCTGGAACTTTCCCAACCATTTGATATAAATACACGAATGTACAGCCTAGATGATGACTTGGTCGAAAAGAAAATTTTCTTCGCTGCAACTGTCTTCTTAATTTACAAATCTCTGAATAATTGTGCAGCTTTGAAGTGAATTTGCGAATGGAGATTTTTTTGCTGAATTATGTGCTCTTAATCACACCACATGGGGATTTTTACGCGTAAAATAGATGATAGGAAGATTAAGCACATTCGGCGATGGGGACTGATCATTTTCAAATGCAATACGACAGGTAGGTAAACAATGGTAACGAAAGAGACCATGTGATTCACAAAACTTCTTCAAATCATATTTCAGTTTGCTTGGCCTTATTTCGCTTCACATTTCACTTATTTCATTTTATTGACGGCACTTCATTTTATTTCCGCATATTAGAGCATTTGAACAGGACAAATTCACCTATTCACATTTTCGAAAGTACTTCATCTTAATATCCTCTAATTTACACATGTCTATTGAAATTCATGTTGACCTTCCTTTATTCATCTATATGTCTAGCTGTGTTTGTCTTCACACTGTTGAAATGTAACATACATGCACACGGACACAGACGACAAGGTTGCTTGTTGGTGTCAGTTGCAATCCTTGTATGAATGTGATTGTACAGCAGATTAGGGTTCAAATGGTTTACTTCATTTTGCTGAAGCTGAAAAGTTCAGAAAAATCTAGTTTTGATTTTCTTGCTGAACACGCTGGGATTATTTGAAGAAATTTATTATAAAACAAGAAATAAAATGTTTGAAACTCTAAGTGTATTCGTGCAACACATGTCTATCAATTGGATCGCATACGTACTAATTAATATAATAAGTGAACACAATACTGAGTTAATGGAGACCGGTTATGTCAAAGTCCACGCAGAATTTTAAGTCAGTGTTGGATATGAGTAAATCGGAAAAGGGAAAGAATTTTTTATGCATCCGCGTATCAAGAAAAGATTGTCCAGGAACGGTTGAATGTCAGGACAAACTGTTTTTTGACACACGAGGGTGGTTTAAACTTTTTAATATTTACGAAGTCAACACTCTTTACGAAAAAAAGTGAATACGATTTGTAAACACATTTAAAATACGCATAAACATCAGTTTTATGCCGTCTATTGATAATATCTTTTGCAGTAGAAGTGCTTGGTCCTCTGTTTTCACTGTTTATAGGTTAGGAAAATTCAATGAGTTTCTGAATCCACCTAGGAATATGCTGTGTAGAGATCTTTGGGTCTGGCCTATTCGTATGCAACGAAATGTATATTTGAATTGATGGATATGTGACATTATACTTATATCCTAAGGGTTAAAATGAATCAACAGGTTTACACTCCCAATTATCCAGGTCTTCTCTGCAATAAAAATCTTTCTGCTTGCAGCGTTCACTTGTTTTCTGATAAACGTCTGCGATCACCCTTGTAGACCAGCTTGATACATACATTCTTCTTAGCGGAGAGTTGGTGCTCTGACTGCTTTGTAACACCTAATGAACTTCTCTGGGTGAGGATTTTTATAAAGAGTTCTAGTCAATATCCTATCCCTACCTTCAAATGTACCTTATGTGTATATTCGTGGAATCCTCTTGATTAGACGCCTCATAGGGTTTCTTTTATACTGAACAGAGAAAAAGCTGTCGTAATTGAGATGATATCCTTTCTAGGTAGGTTTCTGTAAACATGCATACTGATCCATCAGACAGTAGACTAAGTAGTATGTCTAGGAAAGAGAAACAGTTAACTTCTACACATGTAAGTGATATTATCTTTCGCACTTCATTTATTCGATCTAAAATTGAAGTGGCGGGACCAATATTGGAACTAATTAAAATATTATCAGCGTACCATCTACAAAGTGTAACTTCTACTACTACGTCTTCAGACAAAGTGAAGGTGACATATAGGTATATTTTATCCCTAGGGCTGCTAGCTAACTTGTCTGATCTGTTTATACGATATAACAGTTATTACCTGGCGTGTGCTTAGTCAAACCAGCACCATAGAATATAAACTTTATACTATTACTATCACATAGAAGCAAGAAATCCTTTAAATATGTTAGAAGAAACAGTATTGAAAATCATGTATAGAAATGTAATCTCACAAGATGTCAAGTATTATGATTACGGTTGCATTAGTGGATGAAGATTTTAAACCAATTAAACGCATTCTCTCGTTTCTTTTATTGACTCTATCAAGGTAATATAAACAGTTCAGATTTATCGTTTAATACATATCTCTGAAATTGCCTTTTGATTCAGTTCAGGTGTTGGTAATGTATACGTTGACATTAGACGAGGCAGGAAACGATTATGTTTGTGTATTTTAGTTAAACCACATATACGTGGAAATTCGCAATATGTTGTTCATAAAAAGTCTAGTTCATCTTTTCTAATAACATTTAGACTGAATGGATTCATTTAATTAGCTATCATTGTCCACTGTATCAACTGAACATCTTAAGAGTAGTCTCACAGTTAAATTTACTTTTATCATCAAGGAGAGGTAACTGTTTCGATTTTAAATCACCTTTATTGATGATGACAACTCCAGAGTCTTTGACAGGTTCCGCTGTGTTTATATCATGATTTTCACCTAGTCCTTCAAAAGCTTTCAAATGCTGAAGATTCAAAATGCTTTTCTGCTTCAGCCTGTCTTCGAGGTTATGGTAAGCTATGTCCAACCAAATGTGCTTTAAATTAACCACGATCTTCATCTGATGTTTGGAAGAGAAACTTAATTTTGCAGTAAGAGTTTTCGAACTCAGAATAGGTAGGTTAATCCGTAAAATGAACACAAGGAACAAGAAATTTTTACCTTAGCGATAAAGCGTCTTTTTGGTGAGTGGAGAGGTTCTTAACATATTTTCCCCCTTTAACAGGAGGGAAGATTTGGCAGTTTTTATCAACAGATGAACTTCTCATCTCTTTTCTTTATTTCTTTTGGGTTTACTTGTAACAACTCTACAAATTGCAGAGAATTCAGATGGCACGTTATCGATGATTCCGATAGAATACGCGAAGCATCATCATAAAGAGCACATAATTTATTCAGTTTCTATCTTTGTAAGACGAACGAAATCTGAATTCACTAAACTTAACAGTTTCGTAATATTGTCTAGGAAATGCATGATTTGCAATATGTGATTGGTAAAGTTCCACTGTTAGTACAAGACATATAAGCGAACAATATTGTTCGCTGTTTTTTGACAAATAAGATCAACTCTGTTTTGATTTAGATAATAAGAATTAGTTTTGTAAAATTGATGTAGCGTGTTGATCACTATATAACAGTTTTATTACAATTATATTTGAAAAAACTTACCTAACCAACTGTTCACGTACTGAAAATAGAATTCATACAATTTTTTAGATTTTAACAATACCTAAATTAGTATTACAATATAAATGACTAGCCATATCATTACTACTAATACTACTCAGGATTGTGACTGCAGTGCGATAATTAAAACAATAATATTATTATCGATATATGAGTGGTTGTGCACTTAACAAGTTAAGCCATTCGTTAGCATAGTAGCAACTGGTGTAGCTATCTAATCTAAAATGCTGACAAAACTGATGAAGTGCAAGTTAGCTGAGTGAAACTTTACTGCTGTCCTCCGTGATATATTTTAATTTCTCACTAAAATCAAAGGAATATACACATTGGATCATAGAAGTTATTAAGAAGACAATTACAGCGAAGAAAATTTTCTTTTCGACGAAGTCGTCATCTAGGCTGTACATTCGTGTATTTATATCAAATGGTTGGGAAAGTTCTAGAACAAGTTCCGGTTAAGAGTCAAGTTAATAAAAATTAAAATTAGGAATAAGAATGCCATAATAAAAGGGGGGGGATGGAAAAAACAAACAAAGTAGCATCATAATAAATAAGAAGATTGACATTGGTATATGCACGTGCATATACCAGTTTATTTGCTCTTGTGGAGCTGAGTATGGTGGTCGTACCATGCGACGACTTGAAAATCGCGCTCGTGAACACTACTCAGCCTGGTTAGTAAAAGGAGATCATAAGCGTGTATACAGTTCAGTGACAGAACATCTGGTCAATTCAGGACATTCAGCGCCTTTCGAAAAATCCTTCAAAGTAATATACAAGATTCAGTCAAACCTATCAAATGGAGTGAAATTAAGACATCTGGGCATAGGCGAGGCGCTAGCTATCCAAAAGCACAAATCCACGCTTTGTATCCAAAAGAAATATTATGATGTTACTTTGTTATGGCATTCTAATTCCTTAATTTTAATTTTTATTAATTTGACTCTTAACCGGAACTTATTCTGGAACTTTCCCAACCATTTGATATAAATACACGAATGTATAGCCTAGAAAATTTTCTTCGCTGCAATTGTCTTCTGAATAAAATCAAAGCGGAGTAAATCGTTATAATATTTTACTTGAAACTGACAATTATAATCCAATATGGTTATAAACAATAAATTATGTTTGAAGCGTCATGTAACAGGTAATACTGTTTCACTATGTGGTATATATCCAATAAATAAACTAGAATGGAATTACATATTACCATGATACTCAAGTTTTGCACACATGTTTCTTTAAAATGGCTATTATGTGAGTTTGTGCTCATCTGAAAACTTTGTCAGTAACTCTGAAGGAACTTATGCTTTGTATGCAACTCATACTTGTCAAACTGCGTGTTTTAATGATTGTATTCATTAAAAACCTACTGAGGCTTTGAATGGTCACTTTTAGGATGTAATTATTTATGCCAATTATGTGATAACATTTTTTATGAGGCTTTACAGCATATAATTCCACACTTACATAGAAGTTACTATACGCGCTGTTATGTTAAATGTATAATTGGTCAAATCTTGGTCAGAACTCATATGAATAAATGCTGCTACCTCCTACAAACAAGATATCAACCTTCAAATTTTCTGGCTTGTTACTAATAGCAATATGAAGATTATTTCAATAGTCAACTCTGATTGTTCTGATATCATTAACGGAAAGCTGAATATTACTATCCAGACACCCGAAGTCATGAATTTCGTCAAATAATTTGAGCATCAAGTCAGACTGAGCCATTAGAAATAACTTGAAAGAATTCCAGCGTTTTAAAGAAAACCTTTAAACGTATTTCTGTGAAAGCCACAGCTTCTTCAGCGGAATGATTCAGATTTTATCAACCATCAAAAGGTACAGTTAAAAAATAACATAAGTGAAGTGAATTCCTTTCAAGCTCACTTGTTAGTAGACATCTGTATCAGCAGAAAAACGTAAGCAGTCATCCAATATAAATAAAACTGTTTCATCCCATATTAGTTTGTTTATTAGATATATCACACATTGAAACAGTATTATGCACAGGATGACGTTTCGAACAAAATTTATTGTTCATAATCATATCAATCGTAATCACACAACTTCGAAACTTGAGGTTTATAGTTTTGTTTGTCCTCTCCTATATGTCGTAGGGGTAGTAGAATTTTCCAGATATCTGGTACAGGTGTTGAATCATTCTTATTACATGTATTTGCAGTTGGTTCGATAAACAAAGCTTCTGTTATCAATCTCTACCTCCACTATGTGACATTAGATTTTAAAACTGTCATCCAATCCCATCCTATTGTGTAAATGTGTGTACCTGCATGTAGTGCTATAGCTGAACTATTCTCTAGATTTCTTACCTTATTCGGGTTGACTAATCTAGATTTGGATGCAGGATTTCATCATCAGCTGACATTGTTCAGGGAACCACTGGAAAACCTGAAAGTAATGTACAGCTGTTTCCTCATAGTTTGGGACTCTTCATCAGTACGCATACACCGGAGTTCAAACCCAGGACATTCTGGTAACAAGGCAAGCCCTTAGACAGCTCGGGCTCAAAAAATGTCCAGTACCCCAATGGTTCTCTAGCTGATATCAGCTCATGATGAAATCCTCATTCCAATCAAACGAAATCTCTACAAAACCAATACTTGAAAATTAATCTAGATTTTGTTAGGCTTTTTCGCTCCGCTAGTTTGACTGCACCTGTTCTACTAGTTTGACGTATCTATTTGACCTGACAATTATTTCAGAGTATTAGACAAACTAAATTGTTTTGTCTTATCGGCTCCACTGGATCCTTTAATCGACAAAGCTTGTTTCTAATTGAGTTTGTGAGTTTGAATGCTGCTTTTATTCCTGCCTTATTAAGAATTCCGCGTAAGGTTTCCGAGGTTCATTTTACGCTGCAATCTAACATTGGAAGCTCCCGTACTTAACTTTCTATTTCATAAGTGAATTAAACTGTGTTATTTATCTAATAAACAATTTAATATGGAAGTTTTAAGAGTTGATTTGTTAGGATTAGATTTGCTTTTCGAGTTTGCCCATGGATTGATATTAGTTAGAGAACCATTGAAAACCAGGGAGTACTGGACAGCTGTTTCATCCTAGTTTTTGGAATCATTGGTAGTACGCTGCCACTTGAAGTCATCACATATTTATAATGACTGATGTCAAATTATCATGTGTGCATATTTGTCCGTGTGAATGTGTCTGTTGTTTGTTATGTGGAAAACATGACAATGCGTGTAAGAAAAACAAGATAATGTATTAACAGAGGTCGCAGGCAGTATGGGAGTGAATATTTTTAAAACAATTTTTCCAATGTATAAATTTGGATGGTACACCAGAAGACGGAGACCCTCTAAATATTTTTGTTTTTCCTCATCTGTTTTACTTCATTGGAGTCTGCCACTTAGGTGGTGATAAGTCTACATATTGCATTCAATGCAGTTATAATATGCAAGGCTACAAAGGTAAGCCTTTCTTTATGTCAGTGAAAGCCTTTTCCTGGCATTCCGACATTGTTCAAATCAACATTGCTATAGCTGGACCTTTTTTGAGACTGTTTAATCTTACCCCACTTCTAGGAGGATGTTTCGAGTACACTCTGTGTTCACTCACTCTGACCTTCTACTGTCTACTACTTTCCCCTATATAGCAAACCTCACATTCTGAACATTTTATCCTGTAGACAAAGTCGGTTTTTGTTATTTTGGAAAACATTTATTTAGGGTCCGATAAAGCTTTCTCTGATGGATTAGACGGTTTGCAATAGGCTTTAACATTATATAAAGCAAGTAATCAGCCGTGTCTCTTCCGTATGGAATGTTTATCGTCATCAGTGGAATGGCCAAGCGGTCTAAGGCACTGGTTTTGGAGTTGGTGGTTCGGTATTAGGACACTTGCCAACCATGCTTGCAGGTTCGGGGATCAATCCCTTGATGACACAATCTTAAACTTGTTTAAGCTGGCAGTGAGGCCGGTAAAGGTGGAAGTCAGGACATGAGGCTATCAGTACCACCCCCTAAAAGTAAAACTAGTGCTACTGAAACTTCAAAGGTGAAGCTTGAAATCACACCAGGACTTGCCATAGTTTCATCGTATTCAATACTAATATCCATTACTTTCCTTTTAAACTGCTGAATACAGAGGAGTGATTTCTCTATTTTTCTATTACGCCTATATGTGATACAATGAATATTCTGAAATATTGACTAGAAAACTATCAAGGAGTAATAGATAAATGTTCACTATCAACAGAGGACACCATGAAATGATTAAAACTTTGTTTATAATATACTTATTTTGTCTTTAAAGACAAACTATATTGTCAGATGAATGGAGTTGCAATTGAATCACCAGTCTCTCCAATTGTAGCAAATCTTCATATAAAAGGTCCAGAAAGAAAAGCACCGACAAAATTGATCTCTTCCTAGAATATGATACAGATGTGTGGATGACACGTCCATCATTATTAAGAAAGATGAGAGAGAAAACAGAATAGCCCAATTTCAAAATATGTAAAGTTTACTGATTAGGTTGAATGGGATGAGGCAACTTTAAACTTTTTGTATTGTCGTGTAAAATGACAAAATGACGGAAAACTAAAGTTCCCAAAGTACAGGAAAGTGACGCATTCAAACAAATATTTGAAATTCCACTCTGATCACCTGAAGAAAATGGAAGTCTCATTAGCTTTAAATCCAGTAAACAGAGCTAGAAACATTAAAGCAAATAATGATAATATTTTTCCTATTTTTTTCTGTATGCGAATGTTAAAAATGGCAAATTCGTAACCACTAAATGTAGTTATTCCTTTTGTGTCCATTAGAGATGCGTTAGTCAACTCAGTGTGTTTTCAGTTTTATCAAACAAAACTAACTGGAGATAAGTAACGGCTAGCCAAATCATTAATTCATGCAACACGATTGTTCCTAGGAACTGATTATAAATTAGGGAAAGTGTATTCACTAAATACATGATGTTTATCTTAGTTTAGGCATCTGCCCTCTTCAACTGAGTCGTGGAAATTCTTAGCTGATATATCACTTCAAATTGTTGAAGTTTGATTACTCCTATCGAAAAAGAAGTAAACCACAGTAAGCAGTGATATGTTTCAGGTCAGGGAAACCCTTTTTAAGAGGAACAGAATGATATTACTCGGTAAATGAAGAGTGTACAGACGTACTTGGAGTGATCGATTCTAGTTTACTGGACTCTGATAGCAACATTTTCGCTGTCTCCAATAAACTGATTTGATGACAAGTTGTTTGTCGTCTTGATGGTGTAGATGCTGGTGTTGTACGATTCGGGGAGTATGGTGGATGCAGACTAACACTAGTCCTAGATAAACGACTACTTGCGCATGTTGTAGCAGTTGTGGTAACAGCTGTAGTAAAACTTGGAGTCCGTTGTGCTTGGCCGTTTGAACTGGCTTCAACTATACCCGTTCTGCTTTCTGTGCATAAAGCGTTCATATTCACCTGAAGTAGATTAATATCTATTCGACTGCTACGTGCACTTTCGTTATCTTCATGATTTTGATTGACATTATCAGAATAATTTGTATCCTCAGCTGAACCATCCCTTTTTGTTTGATGTCAAAATAATGGAAAATAATAATCTGGCAAATTAGTTGAAATCATTTTGACTAAATTCTAACTACATTTACAGAAAGAATTATTCAGTCTAACACACCAAAATTTGACACTTATACTTTAGTATCAGATTAGAAAGAGAACTGCACATGCTTCTTTTCTACTTAGAGCTTTGGCTTAAGCCCATGAGTAGCCAAAGCCACTTCCGGTTTTTAGCAGTTGCAAATTATGACAGCTATGTATGTTTTTATGATGTTGAAAAATAATCTTAAAATCATTGTCAACCTTAGTGGAGTGGAGAAAGCGAATCAAACATTCTGGGACAGAACTACCCATAGCCTTCCTTTCGCCTTCACAAAACCCATACTGAGAGATGTAGAAAGTGTTTCCCGACTGTAACTGATTCCTACCGCTCCATAGGAGCAAGTGAAGTGGTAAACGATAAACTAAAATCCATGCTTTACTTTACCTCCAAAACAATCAGTAGAAGCGAATGCATTTTCTTTGTTTCTTACTGCTTCTTTGCAAATGTCCTCTAATGGGTATGATGCTGTGCTCAGTTTGTATAAATGACCACGAAACGTTATGTAAAGAGTAAAAACTATTGATAAAACTAAAATAGCTTTCACATATGAATAAAAATTATGAATTGTGGTAAAGTATAATTCCATTATAGACAAAATTTATTTTGATAGAGTCTCACAGTGTTATACAGTAATATTTACTGATGACCACATTCCGAGGACTATTCATTACTCTTTATAATCATATCGAGTTACTCACCCAACTTTATAACTTCGTTCATATAATTTCATAATTTTCATCGCTCGACCTGATTAGTAGTAGCATCTTCCATATTTCCGGTATAAGTGATTAGTCATTCTTATTGCACCTCTTGAGTGTAGAGTCAGTGAACCAAGATTCAGTAATCAACCTGTCACTCTATCTCTCCATCTCCCTGCATTACTTTTCAGAATTTTGACTGTGCGCCACCCTATTGTGTGGATGTATGTTAATGCATGCAGTGCTGCAGCTGAGGTTTTTTTCCAAATTACTATCTTCGTGGTGTCAGTCATTCTAACATTAGCTAAATTCTTGTGTTCTGACAATCTGACTACTTCCGAGATAATATAAGACAACTACAGTTTCACCATTTAAGGAATAGACATCTTAAACCCTGAGTAGAATTTTCAAAATAGCAGAAATTAAGGTGGCATTCAAACCTACAAACTTACTCAGGGACAAGCTCTTTAGGCTAAAGGACCCAATGGACCCAAATAAACAAAATAATATAATTTACAAAATACCTTGAAATGACTGTGAGATAGGTGAACTACATAGGTCGAACTAGTAGATCAGAAGTAGTGAGATTGTCAGAACATAAGAATTTAGTTAAGGTAAGAATGATTGACACCAAGAAGATAAGTAATTTAGAAAAAAACTCAGCTGCAGCACCGCATGCATTAACATACATCCACACAATAGGGTGGCACACAGTCAAAATTCTGAAAAGTAATGCAGGGAGGTGGAGAGATAGAGTGACAGGTTAATTACTTAATCTTGGTTCATTGAGTCTACACCCAAGAGATGCAATAGAAGTGCCTCAACGCAAATACTGGAGATATGGGAGATATTATTACGAGTCAAATCAGTGGATAATAAATAATAATGAAGCGTATTGCAAATCACATTATGACATTCTTACAAGTTATTTATTTTACTATAAAACCATCTTAATTCTCGTCTTATTGACTAGCAACGCTCGTCTTATTTCCCATCTGATTGTATTTTATTGATAACACTAATTTCATTTCCGAATGTACTTTATCTTCCCTTGTTTCACACATGTTTTATATTGATTTTATTCAAATGCCTAATCAATTTTTACTCAAGTATATAAGCGAAGCAAGAAAGTTTTGTGAGTAACTTGATATGATTATAAGGAGTAATGAACTGTGCTCGAAACGTGGTCATCAGTAAAAATCACTGTATAACACTGTGAGACTCTATCAAAATAAATTTTGTCCACAATGGAATTATATCATGGTGATTTGCAATTTATAGTGTTCTCTGAACTGGTTGGTTTATTTGCGGTGCTGTCGTCGTCTTTAACGCAATATTTAGCATGAAGTGAAATGATTTAAATTTTGTTCATGAGTGATATTATTGCGTCTCCCGGCAACAATTTTTACATATGTATATCATGGTGAATTCAAAGAAGTTCAGTGTGCGTCTGTGGCACAGTGGTTAGGACTCTCGCCGACCATGCACATGGTCCGGAGTTCAAGCCCACTCCGACGCACACCTAATATCTATGGTCGGCCTGTGAAATTTTGGGCTTCCAATATCCACGCTGAAAATTCCGTACTTGTACCATAAATACGGTGTGGAATCAAGCTGTAATCAAAAATAAAATAAAAATAAATAAATAAATAGAAATAAATAAATATTAAAACATAAGCTGAAGATATTGTCCAGAAGGACAATGTAAGCTTTGCGACTAAATCAACCAGCTCAGAGAACACAACTAAATCAAAAAACTCAATTATTTCTACAAAAACGCATTTTAAAGCTTACTGCTCATTAAACCCTTCTTGTGTTTCTCGCAAATCGATTTTAAAGCTGTCTACTGTTTCAGAAATACTTGAATTACTCCATCTACCGCTAAGAACTGATAAACTATTATTCTCGGGATTAGAGTTTAACAGATGTTGATTATTTTTATCTTTCATTGTGTTGTTTGAGTTTTCATTGTCAGATTTACTAAATGTTGATAATCGTGGTGCTATTATTGGTGATGCTTGCTCTATTGTACTGTGATGTCCATCTGCTAAAACAAACAGTCAAATGGAAAAATTACTTTTCCACAGTATTTCTTGGGATATGTCAACAGAAAACTGAACTGAACTTAAATAATCTATCGACGTAGAACATTGCACTTGTCACACTTCAGCTATGCACACATCGTGTAATGAAACTACAATGGAACAAAATATGGAGGAGAAACAAGAACTGAATGAAGATTAGTGAGTTACTGAAGAGTCTTTAGCACCTCACAGGTAATTAGAAGTTCTTCACCTCCACCTAGAATGATCTTAAACCATTTCATCAACAGACTTCGAACACTCGATTTCAGCATTCTGTGGACCCCACATAACCAGTCTACACCTCCTTATGTGGATTCAATCAACAATCAAAAACCTCATGCACCACTGTCTTTTTTGATCTCACTATATTTGCCCATAACAATGAAAATCATATTCATTAGTTATTCATTTAAGCTTTTTTAATTATTATATCCTCACTGTTAATCATTATTTTCAGGCGTAAATGTACAATTAATTTGCATCTAAATGACAAGTGGTGCCGATGACTTACTCATTATGTCGCTGACTGATAGTATACTAAGCTTCTTATCAGACTTTGCATTGGTTACTCTAAAAGAAAAAAAATTTTTTAATGGAATACAAAGTGAAGGCGTCAATTCATTCATATCGACTGTATAAAATTTTATAATTACACTTATTCACATTTACTTTAAATGATTAATTTCACATCGAGAAGAAAGAAAAAAATTCAATAACCCTTTATAAACATACATTTAATTTTGTAAATTTCGTCTTTTCTCCGTGTTTTTAGTGATATGGTAAACATATGTCAAGCTATGTTGTTTTAGTACTAACCAATCTACATGATTCATTGAAACCTAAAACTTATCATACAATATAGATCAGTAGTAAGTAGCATCTCGGACGCAATTATACATCTTTCAACTCACGTAAAATGAGACGACATATTCTCAGTCACACAGATGCTGTCCGATCTAGATTATCGGAACTTGAGCAGAATATCTTAAGAAACTACCACCTTCTTTATGAATTATGTGATGATGAATGAATATTATTCAAAGACTACAGTGCTACAGTTGCAAAGAAAAGAATGGAGAATGTCATTATGAAACCAAATAAAAGTCTGAAGACTGTTACCAAAGAAACAGTGTTTTCTACTTGTTCTGAAAAATAAATATTTAATTATTCTGTCTCACTGATGCCAATTCAAATGCGAATCTCAGCAGTCGCAACTAAGTCCTGTGATGTAACGCTAAAAGTTAGTGAGCTGAGGACTAACTCCTATAACTCAAGGAATCTTTCGACGAAGAGCTAAAAATTTCCGAGGAATCTCGAAAAGAAATGGTCCCTCAGCCAGATTCATGGACAAAAACTTCAAACTAAAGAATGCTGCTTGACAAGTCCAGGTCGCTCTCAAAAATATTTTGATGATGTATCTTGAATTTCAACGTGATACTGGTACAGAAGTTCCCTAAAAAAAATTTGGGAATCCCTCATATTTCGAGTAACATTTTTGTCTCAAGAAACTATTCAGACAGCACGTGAAAGACAGGCTGTTATATTGGGCCACATCAGCTTGCATATACTAGTTTATTTTCTCTTATGGAGATGATTATATTGGCTGTTTTATGCTCCCACTTGTTAAGCGTGCTCAGGAACCCCATCCATATTTTCAGTAAATAGAGAACGTAGATTCATACGAACTGTGATCAAGATTTGACTGGATAGCTGCAAAATAATTGACCGCTGAGTGAGAAGTAGACATTTTGTTTAGTATACCTATTGATAGCTGTTTCTTGATTCATATTTAAAAATAAAAGATGTTCTTTTATATAAACATACAATTCTACATATTTATTTATTATACATATTGATACCTGTTGCATGACTCTTGACTGGACAAAATTTAAAAAAAAACAAGAGGTGTCCCTTTATATATAAACCTTTGTTATGTTAATTTCGATTAATTTCCCTGAAGAAGTTCGGACCAGATTGCCGAACGAAACGTTGGAATTAATCATTTCAATTTCGCTAAGATTTTACAAATATAACTTTATAAGAGAACGTAGATGTATATATAACTGGGTGAGAGGGCATCTGGTAAACTTAGGACACTCAGTTGCATTTGAAAAGTCCTTCGAAATCATATAAAAGATCCTACCAAACCTCTCAAAATGAGTTAGTTGAAGACATCTGGGGACAGCTGAGGCAGTAGCGACCCAAATTTCAAGCTAACGCTATGTATTCAAAAGAAGTACGTCCAACCTCCGTATTTATCACAGTCTTCACAAACAGTTAATTTCCTCAACAATTATTATCTGATTATCCCTCTTATTCGAAATTCCTGTCTATTTCTGTCATTTTTACGTTTCTAATCCCTATTTGTAGTCCTGTCATTCGTCATAATCCTCAACCGGAAATTGTTCTGAAATCCCTCTACTATATATACAAAAATGCGAGGTCTAGTTGATGACGTCGTTGAAAAGAAACTTTCCTTCACCCCAAACATCGTTTTTAGTTTTTCTTTTTCTAAATATCCTAAAGTTTAATTTACCAACAAATCTTAACTTAACCTTAAGAGTTCAATCACTAAATACTGCTGAGGCCGTTGGGATCCATATAAAGAAACCTAATTTTTATGTCCAGATGAAGCTAGTTCAGACATTGTCCTTATCTTCATCGTCTAGGTTCGAATGATCCTCAGTTTATTGTAGGAATTTTCCTAATTTTAGTTGACATTCTATATGTTATTATAATTTTATTATTATAATTATAATTTAAGCATCTTTAATGAACTGTAATTTCATCGATCTTACTTTACAAATCGATATTACTTAAAAAACACTAATATTGTTATTGAATACTAATCTAGAATATTTTATGTATATGAGCATATATATATATAGTCGTAGAACCAGAAGAGGATATTCTTTGCTCAGCTGTTTTGTGTTCTATTCTCTTATTTCAAATACTTGTCGGAAATTCCTAAAAGTGTATTCAAATATGCAACACGGTACAATAATAAAACACTTTTTCTAAAGTCAAACTCACTTTGTTTGCTCCGTTTCTGTTGTTTTGTCCATTGTCTTAGTTGTTTTGTTATGCTATTAGTAAGAGAAGAAGGAACTATCAGTCGGATTGGAGCATGAAATCATCAACCACTTTTTGTTAAAGGAGTGAAGACAATCGGACTATGTCTTATTTCTAATCAGGCCAACGAGCTCTCCTTGTAACCAGAAGGTCCTTATTTCGAACTCCGGTGGGTGCGTTCTATGAAGAGTCATAAACTAGAACGAAACAACTGGTTTTCCAATGGTTCTCCAGCCAATGTCAGCTCATGATGAAATCCTCAAGCCAATCAAACTAAATTTTGACAAACCAATACTTGAAGATCAGAAGTCTATTGTGCCATCTTTGTTTTGACAAATGCCCTTCTTCTCCCATGCGTTTTTCACTTTAATGTGTAAATATTTCACTTGTCTATGCAAAACTAAGACAATTTGTTTGAGACAAATACCTTAATTAATACATGTAGTAACTTATAACTACTGTTACAGTTATATATGTATTTTCGTTATAATCATCAAGTTTTCCCTTCATTTCAGCTAGCTTTTCTTATTTTTTATCAAGTGAGGCGTTATTTTAGGAAAGATTTTATTGTAAACGACATTACTTATTGGGACAGATGAACAAACTAATTTTCCTAAAATACAATATTCATCTTTACATTGCCAGTTTTATCCCCCACCCCCACCTGTAACCCTGGAATCCTGTTGGTTTTTCACTGTTTTAATTAATCAGCGTTATTAGTATCTCTCAGATCGTTTAAAGCGTATATATGTATATATATATACTCAAGCGCTGCCAACCATTTTAACTGTTGATACGAGAAAGTAAAAGCTGTCACTCTCTTTTCTCCTTGTGATGCAGTTTCGGTGGTGTCTTAGCTTGTCATTGTTGTCGCTGCTGTTGCTAATAGTGATTTGGACAGTAGGCTCGTTAATCGATTAGGTAGAAAATTCGTAAGCGCACACTACCAAGTGTATTACCGTCCTTTTAGATAGAACTAGATATCATCAGACTATGGGATGAATGCACATCGCCATCCAACCAGTGGGTGGTGGCTCATTGGCATGTAAATTGTAACTTAGAGAAGTAGATCAAATTATAAAGTAGTTAGATTCCAGCCGAATAGTTTGACGTCAGCGTTCACACCTCATGGCGTCCATGTCCTGAGATAGATCTTTGTCACTGCCGGTGAATGAAGAGTAGTACAACAGGGTGAGGCTGCGCTGAAGTTCCTCTGAATGACACTGGGTTGCGACAGAAACCTGTCTAAAAATATATACATTTCCAAAACTTCTACGCCTCATTCTTTCGCATCTGCTTTTTACTTAATAACAGACATTCGATGAAGGGTTCGACAGATAATTTTTGTAACCCTTATGTAATTCTTCTCACTAATAAATTGAACAAAGTGATAATGGAAAAGGATTCAGAATAATACGAGCTCATATTTTATTATTTTGAGGATTTTTGTCAACTGGCTATCTAGACAATACAAAATATGAATTACACTGTATATCTGGACATTATTAAGAGGAACTAGGAGTGACATAAGTCCGGAATGATGTAAGTTGTCAAATTATTAAGAGTTAGAAAGACTGAGTATTTGCAACACAAAAGGGCCCACAGACATCAAAGAGTTTAATCGTTCGCCAGTTGTTGGACACTGGCCATATTGTGGACATTCTGAAGGCGTTCAAAATAATCAATGGTCCAAAAGAACGTAGTTTGCTACGTTTCGATGAGGCAATCACCATCAAACAGTTAAAACAGTTATATGTCCTCAGAAAGAAACAGTAGTGATGCTTGCAGTACTTTGATGATAACTAAGTACACAAGTTTTGTTACATCACCTTTTGTCCTCCTTAGAAAGTTTCATTGTTTCATCTAAACATGACTCACCCTGCCCCCTATGTGCTATTTCATAAAAAACATATTTTCTGCATTTATGCACCGCATAATATTGTTATACTTTTTGCTAGTTAAACTTCGTTTCTACCCAAAACATTTTTTGAATTATGTGTTTTTCTATCCAAGCCAATTCGTCTGTTTATCCTTCTAACTCTTAATTACTTAAAGGATTGATCACTGGCTGACATCAAGCAGGAAACCAGGCAGTACTGGAGAGCTGTTTGGTCTTAGGTAGGACTTCTTCATAAGTGCGCAACCGCCGGAGTTCGAACCGAGAACCTTCCGGTTACGAAGGGATCGCGTTGACCATTAAGCCACTGGGATCCAGTCCAGTGTTCTAATAATTCTAACTTACGCCATTTCAGGGTATAAATCTGGCGCAACTGTCAATCAGTATCACACGTGGGTAACTGTCCTCTTGCCTGACTTAATCGACCTGGCTAGTTACGACTTCTGATTAGATTCCCAGGTAACTACCTGTATAGGGTCAATCGCCAGTTATCGTCAAATTAATTGTCAAGGACCGCTTTGCAAGGATTTGATTGGTTACAGGATTGCTCAAAAACTCCCATCATTCCGGACTTATGTTACTCCTAGCCATCACGAACAAAGTATGTCAAAATGCATAGTGTAATTTATATTTTTGTGTTGGCTAAGTAGCCAGTTGAGAAAAATCCTCGAAATAATAAAAGATGAGTTCATATTACAGATCTTTTAAGTTAACATCATAAATATTTTCTTTTTCACTGAATATCCTCACCAATTCCATCCACAATTATTATAATTTATTATGTTCTAAATTTAAACTAGAAGCCTTTGTCCTAAACGTCATCAACGAATGCGCAATAGTAAACAAAATTGAAAGGTTCCACAACCACCAACCCAGTAGCTGGCTTTTTAATCCGATGAGTTGGGGCCTTGGATAAGCACTGGTGACGAGTCCAAAAAAGAATAAAACAGCGCTTTTTGGTTCAAAATAATTCTCTAACTGATGTCGATTCTTGATTAAAATAGATAGAGAATATTTGAAATCCCCGTAAAGCGTGAAGTCCAAAGGCATTTTTATAGCCTAATTACACATTTTACCAGCAGACCAGGTATTGTGATTGCTCAGTTGATAATAATCTTATTTCAATAGGGAACACAATGATAAGCAGTTACTTTGAAGGAAATTATTGCCTGTGATCACACCAACTGCTGGAATTGTTTCCTAATTGATGTGATTACGTGCAGCAATTTTGCCCGAAATGCTACCATAATGTGCAAACTATTGAAATAAAATTATACTTAATTTGATCTGTTCCACAATGAACAAAATGTTGTGCGGCTAAAACTGGTGTAAATGAAACTGATAAGTCTTTACTACTCCTGGGTCTAGTGATTTGTAAGCTTCTTAAAAACCAATTCTATATCAGCCAGTATGAAGTAGAAGGTGATACAGTATGTGTAATACACTTGTGAGTTATTTCATTCAGTAATAGATCTCCATTTTATCGACTGATATTACTTTCTTGTATGCAGGCAGTAAGATAGAGAAATACATGAGCAAAAATTGGGCTTAGAAGAGCATTCAACTCTCCCACTTTTCTAGGTGGCATAGTTTCAACTACTGGTGGCTTCGATAAGAACAGTAATGAAGGACCGGAAAAGCAAGATGAGCCTTCAATAATCCGAAATCAGTATAAATCTACTGAAATCAATATAATGAGCTGGACACACATATTTACATCAGAGCTTCCACATAGTTTACAGACTTGGTGTATTACAGATAGTTTTTTCAACAAACTGCACGCCTTTATCAACACTTTCCATGTCTGGCTCGATAGTAAACATCAGATGGCCAAAAAGGATAAGCGACAAGAAACTCTGGCTGGCAACGAACCAATGAAAAACCTATCATTCAACAAACACGTTGAAAGAAATAAAGATAGACTGGACATACACTGCGAAGACCATTGAGCTATGCCATGTGCCTGTCACTCGAGTGGAAACCTTGGGTATGTGCCCGAGGGCAATATGGAGGAGATAGTGTGAGGGGGGGATGGAAGCATATGTGTAATCCTGGAGCCGGTTAAAAAAGACACCAGAAAACAAGTTAAAACTTGTAATGTGGAGTTATAGTCTTATATCCACTCGGAACTGAATGGAACAACAATAATAATAATCATAAGTTGGTGAACATTCCATATATAACCAATGCTATCTTTTTCACTGTTTTGGATAATTAGCATATTCTGGTCTCTTGTTTTATTCAAATTTGCCTCATCAACAGCATCCAGTTGATAATTCGTATAACCTAATTGGATTTGTTGCTTTCGTCTATACGGAAGACTCCTAATGAAATTTGAGAGCTGCAAAATATGATGTTAACTTCAAATGGAAGATTGGATATCACATTTGATACTCCAAGGTATTATCTTTCCATTCTTTTGTTAATATGCTACTTTCTCAACGTCTGTGAAATAACTTATAGACAGTTCCATCAAAAGTAAGTGGAAAAGTCAAAATGTGAAGACAGAAAACTAATAAATATGTTAATAAACGGTCGTATACATGGGAAGTAGTATTAACCTTGCTTTCAACAATATTCAAAAGACAGCTAGGTTGAACTTTAGCAGCCACCCCAGCAAGTGACCACAAACAACCACATAGTATAACCAAGTTAAATCACGCCTTCTGTTCTTGATTGGTTTAATGAGTTCCACAATGATACAGCATTTGATTACTGTGTGAACAATGGATTAAATGCAGTTTCTAAAACATGAATATATGGATGAATCTTGACAGGATAACCACTCAACTAGGATGATGAGGATTTCGACACAGATTAATGAGCGAAATCAGAAATATAAGTGGATATCAGAATACCATTATCTGTTGTCACCCTTTTCGATAGTTTTGATGCTTTAATCGTTCCTCCATTCTGATTAGCCGATCAAGATCTGTGATAAGGTGCATCAGTGTGGTTGATACAGTTTACCTCATCTCGAAAGACGTCTACCTAATAAGCATATAAGTCATTCTTTACAGTGAACAAATACGAAACAAATACAGAAACACTTATAGCTAGCAGGTGTATATTTTTCCGAATAACCATCTGTTAGTTTTCAACACCAGTTAAAATTTTGACTTAAATTCCTCACTGTACAAAACGTTCACCAGCCCAAACAGCCACACCACGTAAAATACAAATAAAGGTAAAGAAAATAATGTAAAGAAACTTTATTAAAGAAGAGTGTTTGAAAGGGAGAATAATTACATTGAGATTAATGATAGTTCCTTGGATCTAAGAGATAACAGAGAGTGAATGCATCGGTTACACTGAGTCCTATTTTGAGTCATGATAACAACAGCTTCCAGCTATTGTTTCTTATAGTCCCCATGACCATATTAAGCCAGTCTACAGCTCCACACGTCACCGTTCAAAGACTTCACAGATGGACATCATGTCCTGATTTAACAACTCTTAACTCAATTCCAACCCATTTCTATGTCACCTAACATTTCTTGACGTTGAAAACTATGACTTGGGCATGCATGCCACCTGTCCCCATCGATGCAGTTTCACAACCACCTCGACTGACTATTCCTCCTCACCCAACACTCAACGCCTAGCCTGTTTGTTACCGAACATTTTATGTCACCTAACATGGGAGACAGAGAGCAAACAGTTAACTTTTACATATTTCTCACCTCAGTGACCATGTTGCGAAGCCATAATGCTGGGAGGAACGCATTGTTTAGGAATAGAAACTTCTTTTGACGAACAATCGGATATCTCATCTATGCCACATACGATGCAACTGGGAGAACCCACATAAGCCTCTTGCATACATGCTGAGATTTCGTCAGCTATTTAGTCTATCAAGGCTGTTACAACTTTCCCAATAAGGATTGTGCATTTCGACCAATGCACAATCCTTCCACTCTGCATCCTTAAGCCCAGAAGTCCGTGCTAACACTCAGTATTTAAAATATAATAAAGAATGTATGTGAAATCGGTGGAGAAACTTGATAAGATGACTTGAAGCTAGTTAATTTGTAAGTATGATATGAAATGTTGATGTCAGGGTGTTTTAGCCGAAACACTTCCTGTGGTGTGTTATAAAAATAAAGACTGAAAGAAACAAAAAAGAAAATCAAAATAGTCACAAATGAGATAATGTGGAAATAAATTACCTTCACTTTGAACAGTTTAAGCGGATTGTATTTGGAAAAGGAAAGAAAGGTACTGCTTTAAATATCAGTAATTGTTAATAATTTGCATGTTATTATTAATAACATTATCAGTAGGTATTTTAGTACTTAAACTTACATCTCCTATGGCATCTTCAGGTTTTCTGGAAAATACATAATAAAGTAGGATTATACGATTAAAAACATACCATGGAGATCAATGTTCTGTTGTGTAAGGTGTAAAATAATGAAATCAAGTACTGCTCAATAGCTTGCAATTTCATGTGGTTGGCTCCCAGCGACACCCGGTGTGTGAAGGAAAGTTATACTACTAAGTTGCCAAACCTTGCTAGGTGGAGCAGTATTTGAGCCACTGTTTGGAGATACAGTACTTAAACCAGTGAGTCACGACTCCATTAGTAAGGTGTATACAAATTTTAAATCCAAATGAGACTTAGTCATTAAAGAATCATATTTTCACATTCATTTGAGATATTCATTATTCAGTGACTATGGCTTCATTGAATGTTTAGAAGATGGAAATTCATTAGAACAGAATTCATATATAACAGCAAAGACATATTAAGCTTCTCTAGATAGGTAACTAGGGACATAGTAAATAGTCAAGAACGTCTGTTATGGTTTCATTGAATGTCTAGTATCTACCAATTGGGCTAAGACCACATTGTCTACGTGTCTGATAGCTCCTTTACTCAGTCGTACAGCTAACTACACTCCCATTTGAAGTCTGTGATTTTGTTGACTATATATCAATAAATTATTTCATCTCATTTTATCTCGTGCTCTTATTGACCATACACAATGAACTTTCGGATGCAATTTTAATTTAATTTGGCTGGCTATTGTATGCTTAAATTAATGGATTTATAATTGTAGAGATTGGAGAAGAATTCATTCTAGACAATTCGTCGTCGTAATTATTGTTGTTTAGAATTACTTTTTTGTAAGACATCTGTTACTTCTCAACTGTTTGCAGATGTTCGTATTTAGTAAATTTTGATCCCAGTCTCTGAGTATGGACTGAAGCACTAGGAAGTTCAAGCAAATGTTTTTAACATCAGCTGATCATGAAGCATCTTCCTTAATGATTTTAAGTGTTGGTAATTGCATTTTAATCGTAATTCAGTTAACAGCATTCACTAACGTAATTAGTGTTATTTCATGCGACACAAAATAGTAATAAAAACTAGGTAAAATACTTGGTACTAAAATAATTACTGTCGTATTAATTTGTTTATTAGGTCTAACATGAATTGAAACAGTACTATTCACTGGATGACATTTCGAACAAAATGTATTGTTCATAATCATATCAGTTGTAATCACACGACTTCGAAACTTGAGTTTTATAGTTTTCTTTATCCCTTCCCATTCGTTGTGAGGGTAGTAGAATTTTCTAGATGTCCACGATAGGTGTGAATCATTCCTATTGCATGTATTCCCTGTCAGTTGATCCAATGAATTAATATTGATAATAATAATATTAATTATTATCAATGTCAATATTATGATTACTAAAATCTAATATAACACGGTGGAGGAAGATATTGACAACGGTAGTCTTATTTACCGAATCAGCTAGCAGCGAATACATGCAATAGGAATGATTCACACCTATCGTGGACATCTAGAAAATTCTACTACCCTCACAACGAATGGGAAGGGATAAAGAAAACTATAAAACTCAAGTTTCGAAGTCGTGTGATTACAACTGATATGATTATGAACAATAAATTTTGTTCGAAATGTCATCCAGTGAATAGTACTGTTTCAATGTGTGATACATCTAATAAACAAACTAATATGGAATTACATACTACCACAGCGGTCAAGTTTTATACATTTATGAAGTAATCGTACGACAAAGCACTAGACACGTAAGACGTTTTCACTCTGATGTGAAACAAGGGTTGCAAAATAAAAATAACTTTTTACTTCAAATGCTACAAACTGAGCATATACACACTAGGCACCAGAAACTGTAACGTCCACAGAGATCCAACTTTTTGCTGAATAAAAATTTGTCAGCAGGAGATTTAAATATAATATTTTCAGCAAATCACACGTGTATTCTTAATTTATTTTTTCCAACTCTCTTTCCTAGCCAGTGACTTACCGGGATCTATTGCTTAAAAATTCCTTGATACTTAATCCCTGATTGACAACCTCAGCTGGAATAGCTTCTCTTGCATACGATAAATAGGAGTTTGAAAAACTGAAATGGATTTAACACCGTACAGGAGAATATTTTAAAATCTGAAACCTGACTGAAAAATCAGTTTTGTAGTAGTAATCTTATTAACATTAGAGATAATTTAGGATTTGTGTACTGAACAAAAAATAGTATGCTTAATTACGCAACATTAACTCATCATTCCGCTTTGTTACACTTAGTCGATAGACGGTAATCAAAGCACTTAGCAATAGATAAATACACTTTGAAATAATTGTGAAGATATGTAGCTCAGGTAGGTGATTTTGATTTCATTATCTCCTCTATGCTATGAACTTGTTTGGATTCACCATGGTATAATTGTATTTCCTGACAACCTTTGGTATGACCGGTTCTTAATTTACATCTTTATTGATCATTTTTACTAACCTGCATTTCGAGCTTTCTTTTCATGTGGTTTAGTTTTGATTAGTTGGTGAATTTGATCTATTTTTGTGTGTCTATTAATCGCTGACTGATCTGAATACCAGACTACTAGGAATTCCTGGCGTTTTTTCTGTTTAAAGCTCCAACGTTTCCTCAGTCGAATAAAATATTATATCATAATTAGTCGTTTTTGTGATGCGTCAAACACAGAGCCTCAAGAGCACATCTCTACTTTCTTTTATTCTCCCTGGTCCTCTTCAGCTGGCCGCATGATTGCCCATAGTCTCTCAACTCCTCACTCAATCTATTCTATTTGACTCTCAAAGTGGCGCCCAAATCGTTATCACCCATTCGAGTTCTACTCAAGAGCCTGAGGCACGATATCATTCGATGGTTTCCTCAGCGTATGCCCAATCCACCTCTGTTTTTTCCTACATATTTTTTCAGAGATCAGCTACAGGTTAGTTTACTGTCAGAACTCATTTTTGCTAATTTTCTCTAGCGATCTGATCCACAATATGGAGTGAAGGCACCTCTGGACAAAAGTCTGCAACAGGCTGCTGGAAATACTTTTCATGGCACACCAAGTTTCTGACTCATACAGAAGAACTGACTGACTAAGTATTGATGTTGAAAAACAAAACTTTGATTTGATGATGAATGCAGGAGATTTCCGAAATTATTTTAGGTTAATGAAGGTGTTTCTTGCTTTTCCGACTATGGTTTTGACATACTCAACCGTGCCACCTGAAGTTAAAACGATGCTCCCTAGTTAAGTAATAGAAGTGACTACGTTCAAATGCCTCCTGTTGATAGTGTTTAGTACTGGCTCTTGTTGGTTGAAAATCTGCATCACCTTCGTCTTCTTTCTGTTCACCTGGAATTCTGTCTTCGCTGTCAGCCTCTTCAGCCAGTTTGTTGGTTTAGGCCTACAAGTCTTCCAGTCTCTGTAACACTAAACGTAAATCATACACGTACGAAATCCAGATCACCTAGAGTCTTTATATCGGTTCAACGTTTTCCTGTCATCGTACTCCTCACGCACAGTCTTCCGCATGATCCAGTTAACCACAACTGAGAATATCATCGTAGGTGATAATAGGTAGCCAGCCTACTCTTACTCTTGTATTCACTTTAAACGCTTCGCTGGTTTTTCCGCTATAGATCACCTGACATGAGACATTGTCATATAGCTGTTCAATGAAGTTGATGAAGATTCGGGCACTGCAAGCCATGGTGTTGAAGTAGTTTTTAAATTACTTCTTGGTCAGCGGTGTCTGTTGAAGGCTTTTTCTAAGTGGGTGAGGTTTGCCTGCCACTGATGGCACGGCGGTAGAAAGTTCGCCAATCACACATGTGGTTCAGGATTCGATCCCCGGCCGACACACCCCTTTACCTCACTAAGTCAATATTAAGATTGGTAAAGAGGGAACGTTGGGCGACCACACTCAAAAAAAAACCCACTGCTACCTAAACTTCAAAGCCCTGAATTGAAGCCCTTTGATCAAGCGGGAACATAAAGGAATGAAAATTTGCCCGCCATTCTATTCTCTGTTCTGTGATGACGATGCATAGAGTTACTGTTTGATGAGCACATGATTTTCTTTTCCTGAATCCCACCCGTTCAGGCCAGTCTTCTGCATCCAATGCATCCTCTTAGCATCTTTAGGATGACACCACCTAGTACTTTACTTAATGTGAAGAAAAGTATTATTCCACGCCAGTTCTTGCAGAGGCGTAAGTCGCCCTTCTTTTGTAGCTTGACAAGCCTGCTTTCATTACAATCGGGGAGCACCTTTCCTTCCTTCCTCCCAAACCTTTTGCAATTATAGTGGTGAGCACATTTTCTGCAGTCTCTGGGTCCGTTTTCAGTGCTTTGGGTGGAATTCCGTTTGGTCCTGCTGCCCTCTCATTTTGCTTTCAGCAGCTTCATCACATTCAAGACTTATGCTTTTGTTTGAAGATCGCTGTCCACTGGCAGTTCTGTGCGCGCTGATGACTTCGCGGAGACTTGAAGAGTAGTGGTCAATTCAAGAGTCCTTTGAAGTGATCAGTCCACTGTTTTCTCTTCATCTCCTCTTCGGTAATTAATTAGGTTCCCTTAACCACCCTTTACTGGTTTCATTTGTGTTGATCTATTCCCGGATAGAGACCTGGTTAACTGATATAATGCTCTGAGGTCTCTTTCACCTGTGGACTGCCTGTTCTGTTTCAGTTGCCAGTCATTGTGTCGTAGAATTGTCCTTTGTCTCTCCTAGCACTCTTCTTCACTTCTTTATTCGGTATAGTGTACATTGAACTCAGCTTCTCTTCCTGTTGTCCATCACTGCATTGAGTCACTTTCTCTTTCACAATCCCCTTCACATCTATTAGCTCCAAAGTGTCCGCCGAGAGCCACTCCTTGTCTTGCCACTTCTTTCTTCATAAAACGGCTGTACACATGTTTTCTTGAGCATCACCTTCACAGAGTTCCAATGTTCTTCCACTCATGCTATGCAATGTTTCCGATTTATCTCTGATGGCTGCAGTGAAGTTGTCCTTTGTAGTTTCTTCTTTCAGTTTCAGGATGTTGAACTTGGATTGTGGTCTGTCTCCAGTTTATTTGAGGGCTTTCAGCTTCACCATGAAGGTTCCTTGAACTAGACGATAGTTTGAGCCCACATCCCGCTCCCCTTTTCGACTTTGCGTCCAGCAGATCTCATCTTCACTTTTCTGAGATTGAAGTGATGTCTGTCTGGTTTTGATGTGCCCGTCAGGCGAAATCCATGTTGCCTTGTATATATCTTTGTGCCTGGATGTACACGCTACCTCCAATCACCAAATCATTGAAGGCACAGAAGTATGTGAAGAGTTCTCCGTTCTCTTTCATTTCGCTGAGAGCCTACATAAATCACTCTGAGAAAATACATATCGCGTCTTTTCACAGCTAATATATTCCCTAGGATTCTGAATCTATGAGGACGCTCACTATGGTCAGTGTAGTGTTAGTCGCAATTTATGCAATTTATTTTGTAGATGGCATTAATCTTGTTTTCTTTTGCTGATGGATCCTTTGTTCCTTTGTTATTGAATGAAGTAAGTGATTCTAGTAGAATATATGGTACTATTAAAATACATAAGCCAGGCTACCCCATATCACCAATAGTAGATTTTAGAAATACCCCCACTAATGAATTATCAAAACACTGAGCTCTAATACTTTGTCCCATTAGAAATCGTTCAAACTCTAGACTAACTAATTCATATGAGATGAAAAGTAAGCTAAATGACATTCAACCAGAAAATAATGAAAAAATGGTTAGTTTTGATATAACACTAATATACCAGTCATTATGGCCTTAGAAGCAGGTAAGAAAGAACTAACTGCGGATCCTGAACTGAATCATAGGACAAAGCTGCCCATTGAAGAAATTATGCTAGATATTCAGTTATGTCTCACATCTACCAACTTTAAGTTCCAAGGCAAAATGTATAGACAAACAGAAGGTGTAGCAATGGGATCACCAATATCCCTTATTGTAGCAGACATATTTATGGACAGCTGGGAAAGTAGTGCTCTTAATACGTTTAACCCTACTCCAAAAATATGGTGGAAATATGTGGATGACACTTTCACGGTGCTAAAAACAGAATATATCTCCTGACACATATAAACGCACAAGTAGAGGGAATAAAATTCACATTGGAATCAGAAAATGAACTAGGAGAATTAGCTATGTTAGATTGTAAAATAAAACGAATAGAAGAAGGCAAGCTACACATTAGTGTTTATAGAAAACCAACGCGTTCTAATAGATATTTAGACTTTAATTCATCTCATCCGTTAACTGTTAAGGCAGGCTTAGTGAAGTGTCTAACAAACCGAGCCATAGCACTAAGTAGCACAAGAAAAGACCTAAATGACGAAATAAAACAGATAGAAGAAGCGTTGGTGTTGAATAACTATCCTATAAAATTCATTAGGAAGTTCAGTAAAGACCAAAAACAAAATAAAAATAATGGTGAAACTATTAATGATAACGTAAATAAGAAAGAATATAAGTTATCCACTGTTATACCATATAAGGAAGGGACATCTGAGACACTACGTAGGATTCTTAATAAAGCAGGAATTAGGTGGCATTCAAACCTACAAACTCACTCAGAGACAAGCTCTGTAGGCTAAAAGACCCGGTGGATCCAATTAAACAAAATAATATAATTTACAAAATACCCTGCAATGACTGTGAGGTCAACTACATAAGTCAAACAGTAGGTCAGGGATAGTCAGATTATCAGAACATAAGAATTTAGCTAAGATAAGAATGGTTGACCCTGAAAAGATAAGTAATTTAGAAAAAAGCTCAGCTATTGCACTTCACGCAATAACAAACAACCACACAATAGCATAGTGGGATAGGGTTAAAGTTCTGAAAAGTAATATAGGTAGGTGGAGAGAGAGGTTGATTACGGAATCCTTGTTCACCGAGTCTACACCCAACACAACACATGCAACAGAAATAACTCAATGCAAATACCAGAGATACGGAAGATATTATTACCACAGGTCAAATCAGAAGAAGATAATAAATAATCTTAAAATTCTATTTCAATTCAAACACATTCAAACACAACATTCTAACACGTAGCTTATTATGACTGTAAAAAAAACAGTCGTCCCTTTTTTTCCATCTAACTGCAGCTGATCAACAACACTCGTACTATTATTTCAGAATGTACATTATCTCACATTGATTTTTAATCCAATATCTAATCGATTCTACACATGTATATAAATGAAAGAAAAGATTTGTGTAACTTGATATGATTATGGGCAATAGTTTGTGCTCGAAACGTCATCAGGTAATATAACTGTACAACACTGATTTATCAAAATAAAATCTTATCCATAATGGAGTTATACTCCACCACAGTGCCCAAGTTTTACACTTATATCAGTGACTGATTCTGCTTGTGTGTTACCTCCATTTCAAGTGGCTCTGTTACTCGATCCGTTACTTCAGAAATATTCCTCATATACTTTTGAACGAATTCCCTTGAGTTTTGTTGGATGTTTTTTTATAATGTATACGTATTAATTTTTCTTGAAGACAGTTAGTCAATATACCTCTTCTGTTCTCTTCGAAATTTGAGTGTCACAGTATGTTCCAACTCTTTTCAACAATGTTAACACTTGGTTTTATTTGTAAGTTATGGGATTGCTGTTGTTTTTACAGTTGAGTATCTGATTTATGTGTGTTGATTTTCTGTGTAATAATAAATTTATTCCAAGCAGTACTTCTGGTACAGATGTAGGGTTTTCATAATGTACTTGTGTTTTCAGATTTACTGTGTTTGTTTTCTTATTTAAGGCATCATTTGTTACTTCCCTTTTCTGTGGAATTAATGTCTCAAAATATGTTGTTTATGAATTTATGGGTGTATTCCAAATCATTTCTTTTAATTATTACGAGTTTATCATTAACATATCATTCCCAGGTTTTTGGTCTGATTGTGGGCAAAGTCGTTGCATAAGTGCATCAGAGTTCAGTCCTATTATGGGTGACCTAATCGGCGTTGCGTTTATTTGTGCGTGTATTTGATTAGTGAATTGAAAAATATGTTATAAAGCATAATTCTATAAGTGCCATCTAAGCCTAATGTTGGTTTTGTGTATTCATCGCAATATAATAGCTTCTCCATAGTTTCTTTTGCTAGTTTTGAATCATTTGAAGTGTATGATACTCTGATACTAAAGGACAATATGATTTCATTGCCATCTGTATGAATGCTTTTGACTTTTCCTTAAAAAATTTTGGCTGGTGAATTGATAGAATGGTCACAGGATTCTTTTAGGTATTTTGATTTTCTGAAACGTCTTCGAACTATACTAACTGCTCTCTGATGATTCATTTCTGAAAAACTATTATTCTGACGTACGAATAGCTGTCGCCTAAACGGCTTAGTAGTAAAAGTATTGGCTTCAGGCCCGAAATTCGGCCGTAAAACAGACTTGATAACGTATCTGGTGAGGGCTGACATCCACAATACCTAAATGCAGGATACATAACAGATTTGACCTCAATAGTATAAAGTTTATGCTCATTTTTTAAATATGCACATTCTGTTACTTTTAAACTGTAAGCAATTTGGTGAGATGAACGGATAAATAGTGGTGAGACTCACTTATATTTCGATGCTTATTGGTCTTTTGCTTATGAATGCTTACCATTTGAAGTCTCAAAACGCTTCTCGTCTTTTCGAGGTTTCGAGATGACAACAAAGTGATTTTTTTCCTTCACATTCCCAATGGACTTCAAGCTAGAGACTTGAAGTTTCTGTAGTAGTGTTTATTTTTACATGATGGGGTTGCTAGCCCCATGCTTAACCTTTCCTCTTTACTAACATTATTTCTGGCTTAGCGAGGTAAAGGAGTGTGTCGGCCGAGGATCGAACCAAGAACCCGAACCTCGAACCGTGGACCCTTGCAACAGTGTGATAATTGGCTCATATCTGTTTTCTTCACATTCATGAAGTGTGAGCGCGAAATTACTTTCATTCTCACCCCACGCCTTCCAGAGGTTCCCTTGTCATTAAAGATGACCACGTATGAATTCGATATGTTTTATGAAGTCACACTTTACCTTTACTTGTGTCATTACAATGTTTTTCACTACAGCTTTAGATCATAACAGTTTCAAGAAACAGTTAACAACATGCCTTACCTTGTGTTTTGTCTTAGTACTCCTAATATTCCGGTTCTGTTTCTGTGTTGTTTGCTACGAAATCCAACTCCTTCAGCTAACTGAATATAAAAGTGATAAGTGATAAAATTTAGTGAATAAGACATTCGGCCTTCAGTGCATCAGTCAAATCATCAAAATCTACTTATTAGCTATACAGAGTTCGGGAAATAGCATGAGTCTTAGATAATGACACTCAAAAACCACATAGAAAGGAAACTGGGACGAAATTCAAGTTGCTTAAACCCCAAGATGCATTCTGAAAACACTTTATAAGAAAACGTCACGACAGAGAAATCAATAAAGAATGGTAATAGTTTGTTTAATAAGTATGGGAATATAGAAACTAACGAAGCAAATTAACAGTGCATGAAACCACTTTCACATAATGAACAGAAAAAATGAGAAACTCTTTGAGCTAAGTAGGTTGATGATCCATTCACGATCTTTGTTGCTTTACTTACTCCCTATGAAAGTCTGTTTGAAAATACATTTCTCAACCAGTTATTGGGCCAATAGTTCCTCAGTATCTGAATCTCGAGAGTAGTGTGTGGCTAAACAACCCCATCTTTATGCCGTGTTTTTACGAAATATGAGAGTAAAAACATCTATGAGTCTTCATCATTCAATGGAGATTAATTAATGGTTAGGATCATTTGTGAGTAATACTGAAGAGTATGACCGTTCAATGTTATTTGTTTTCCTGAAGTTCACTAAGTGATGAAATCACTCTAATTCCTTCAACCTGATACTTTAACTGCAGATATAAAAAGTGTGATGTGACCAGTAAATAACTCAAAATCATGTATGTACTGAATTCAGTCTTATAAAACAAACCTGATGAATAATTAGAAATTGTAATTCATAACACCAAAAGAGATACCCTTATCTAATATCCTTATCCGAAATCCATATATTTTTTCCTATTATCTATTCTCGTTCCCTGTGTCTTCTCACAACCGTTTACACGATCAACGTATGAGACAAAAATACTTGAGTGAACCATCTTTTCTGTGTATATACTACTAACAAGAACATCTACCAAAGACTATGTTTCTAAATTCGTGAACATTATAACAGCCAATATGATACATAAATAAACTTATTACTTATGAAGAATAATGCTGAACAGAATCTAATAATGTTGCTGAGTGAATAGTGACTGGCAGTAGAAACCAATATGCGCACTTCGTCTTATTTGGGACTCGTCACTGAATATACTTGCAATTCAAATACCGAGTCCCGCGTATGACAAAATAAGCATCCTATATTACACTGCTAGTTAATATCCGTCAAATAACATCATTTTAATACTAAGATATTGTTGAATAATCCATATTGGGAGCCAGCATGTTAGCATAATTATTTACAAGGATATACAAACATAAAATAAAGAATCAGGTATTATTGAATTTAAATGGCAATATTCGAGTGGTGGTTAGGTGTAACTGCGACGCAAAACAATAGGTAGAGGATTGTATGGTTTTCGTGAATATTGTCACCCTAATCACTTCTTAATAATAGTAATAATGTTGTCCCCGTAAATCGGTTTTCGCCACCCCATTATCATACTGTGAATTATTCACCAAGTGCGTAATACTACATCTCAACAATAAAATACTTTTTTAGATTGTAGTCCTTCAGGACCACTAGCTACCTTATCTAGTTGCTTCTATTATTCATAAGACTTTTGTGATCAATATGTAATTTTTTTCAATACAAATTTTTATTAATTTTTTATTTTTGATTACAGCTTGATTCCACACTGTATTTTTGGTACAAGTATGGAATTTTCAGGATGGATATCTGTAGCCCAAATTTTTGCAGGCCGACCATAGATATCAGGTGTGCGTCGGCGGGGTATCTAACCTCGAACCATGTGCATGGTCGGTGAGAGTCCTAACCACTGTGCCACCAACGCACAACTAGGACATTCGAAGGAGTATTACATATGAATTATAAATATCCAAGTGTACTCAAGGGCTGAATCTGACTGAATTATTGTAAAACTATTGGAAATAATCCTAAGTTGCTTACTAAATCCTATCGAAATTTTCCTGTGTTGCTGCATACGGGTGACCGACTGACATCAACTAGTAGTAGCCAGGTCAAAGTTATCAAAATGTAGGGCGGCTGTTCTCTTCGTTTGTGGCCTAGCTCATCAGCAGTGTATTCAGTTTTTCGTCAACTCAGAGAGGTGAATCAGTTAAAGACCACTGGAAGTCTGACAACCTATTCAAGTGAACTAGAAACACAGTGGATCAAATTCTAAATTCACAAATTAATCCTTTTTATCTGCAATTTACACAGATAGGGGTGGAATTTCACCGCAGTTTCTTTCGGAATTCAAAATTATCTAGATGACATACTTATTATGAAAAAAATTTTCTTTTGATTTTCTAAACATGCTGAGCCTATGTTTTAAATAGCTTTGTGGCGAAAGTACGAATCCTCACATGACACACATTAACAGAAAAAAAAATCAAACTGATTACGCGAACACAAATTAGTCGAAAAGAAAAAATCAGGCATTACTAATGTCTATCGAATATGATACTATCCAACGAATCGGTGCTGACTAGGCGAGTCTGTGTGGACATCAACAGCACTCAGCATCAAAAATAAGATGCAGATTTTCAGCCTTAATGTGCTACTTTATGGATCAGAGAATAGCCACGTAATAAAGGGCACCTAAAATAAACTACAGACCTTCATCAACAGCTGTCTTCGATGAATTCCTCAGATCAGATAGCCGGCCAGGAAAGATCAGGAATAGGGATCTCTGGCAATGAACCAACCAACCAGGAACCGAATATGCAATAAATATACAGGAAGAAATGGAGGTGGATTGGCCATACCCTGAGAAAACCATGAAGTGAAATTGCACACTAGGCCTTCGAGTGGAACCCGTATAGGAAGCGGCGAGTTGGTCGTCAATGCCAAGATGATATGGAGGAGGTCATGTGAAGGGGAGATGAAAGCATGTGGACAAACGTGGAGCCAGGTGAAAACGTTGGCAGAGAATCGAATGCAATTGAGAGGTGCGGCTGAAGCCCTATGTTCTTCTAGGAACTAAAGTAGACAATAATAATAATCTTTGTTAATTTGAAATTTTGCCCAAAAATCTTCATTTCAGCTTTCCCTAACTAGCTTTTAATCAGCTATTAACTATGAAACTCCAGCTCTGTCACTCCAGTATTTTATGAAACACTCGATAAAGCTGTTGTTAACTATGAAATAATCTAAGCGATTTCCTTAGGTTAAATAATCATATATCATGACTATTTATCTGTTGTTTTTTCTATCCTAGATATTAACGAAATTTTTTTGATAAAGTAAACATCAGTAGAAAAAATTAGTTAAATTTATTTATTCAGAATAAACTTTTACCATTGTTCGTTTCCTGTACCCATCAGTCAGATAAGTGAGTTCCTTAACTTTGACTGTCGTATTCAGTTGCTTCACTGCAAGTGATGCTGGGTAGATGAATAGTTCTCCACTGGATAAATAGACATTGGAAGACATCAGTTAACAAGAATCTCTAACTTAACAACGAGTTTCATTTCAAAGTAATTCAAAGTTAAGTAATATCATAAGGAAAGGATGATGAAATAAAAATCCGATAATTAGAATGATTTGTATTTATGGAAGAATAATGCTGCACAACTCCTCAACACATGTCCTAGTTTATATAAAGTTTCATTTGTCCACATCAACGCAACTAAATGTCATCTTGACAGTGTATGTCTGTGGTCAGTGATGACGTTGAATCGGAATGTATTACATGCATTTTGCACTTTTCACTTAAACTTCTCTGTCGCCACATAACGATTCTATTAAATGATTGTTTATCAAAATCAACAAGTAGTGAGTAACTTTATACTTTACAAGTGAATTTATTTTGACGACAGACAAGGTCTTGTCTTTTAAAATGGTAAATGAGCAAAAATGTGGTGATTAAAAAAATGCTTATAACTATCTCCTGCCAGTAGATACTGAATACAGATAAATATCAGCCTGTCTGTTTATTTCTGGCGGTACTGAGAAATTACTGCAAAAGACTTTAAGATATTTGCGTGGGAAATAGAAGTACTTCTAGAGCACGGAAAATAACATACTGAAGTCAATAATAGAGAAACGGGAGGTTTAAAAATAAAACATACATCAGTAGTTTAGGTTTAGGTTGAACGGTAGCTACAGTGGAGGTCTGAGTTCTATTGCCGACCTACGCGATCTTCCAAAAAAGCGACTTGATCGGTAGCGACCCTTGGAAAGAGGGAAGACTGGATGTAAAAACAATACCATTTCTAGGGAAAATTCAGAGTTCAAAGCTTGAAGCCCTATGTTCCACTTAGAATTATTTAATGTAATGTTATTTCGGTTATCTGCATTTTCTAACTGCTATTTGTATCTGTTCACAACAGTATATGCAGACTTCCCACGGACTTTAGGATAAGGGGAATTAAAAAGTGGAAGTACTAAATGTAAAACCTTATAATTCCTTTCAGTGGTGAGAATACATTCCAACGATATTATCTTTTAAGGAATATTGCATTTATTCATTTGTCATACCTATTATTCTACTGTATTCTACCACTTTTAAGATTGTATAACTTTTACTTATTCATCTTTCGTCTCACAATTTATTTGATGTGTAGGCATGTGACATCATAAGCTGAAATACTAACTACGCATTCAAGTTTTCAAATCCTGATATCATCTCTCTGACTGGACTATGCAGTGATTAGTGCATTAACATTTCAAAAAAATACTCTTTTGAATTCTTAAAATTCCACTTGTGCTATGTATGAACTAAGGATTTTTCTTCTAGTTGGTCAGCTTTACACTATAAAGAATTTGAATCTGACCGCATTTAATCAGCTTTGTACTGAGCAGACAAAATAATCTAATCATGTGGTGGACAAAGAACTCAACTTCAATGTTGATTTCATCAGTAACTTCAGTGAATAGAAAATTCCTATATAGAGTTTCATTTCGGATTTCTCCCAGCGCAGAGACTGTTTTCAACCAATTTACCATCAAGGGGCACAATCTCATATATGTGATTTAAAAATAATAACATGAACTGAGACAAAATATTTGTGATTATAATGATAAGTAAACATTAAGCTACAGAACAAGTCATATAGTTTATAAAAGAGTTCATAGCATGTGTAAATCTTAAAATGGGATGTGGAATTAGCAAGTTCAATAAAGAATTAAACCTCTTGGAAAAGTGAGAATTTCGGCGAAGGTAATACTGCAAAACACATTCAATTAAATAAATAAAAGGTGACAAGCGAAATAATAACGGAAACTGTTCAAATAATACCGATGGAAGTAAAATGAGGCACGAAAATACAGAATAAGTTAACCAAAATAAATGGGAACTGTAATAGCTTCTTAATACAAACGGAATAGATTCATGAAAGAAACCTCTGGTTTTTCTCTTTCGATAGCCTAAGCTTCCGTAATATTGATTAGTCAGACAAGTAGTGATATTGGCAGGTTGTTTTTAGCCTTAAGGGGATGAGATAACCAACGTCGACCACACGTTCAGTTATTGCGTTGCTTATAAGTTCGTATCCAACGAAGCGAAATAATGTTCCTGTACTCCTTTCTACATAACCCCAGTCTTCTACACATTCTAATGGAAATTTTTCATAAATTTGATTTTTACTCCTCGATTATCATTATTATTATTCCCTTGGATTTCGAGTGGAACATAGGTCTTCAACAACACATCTCCATATTTTCCTATCTGCTGCCGTTCTCTTCAGCTGAGTCCACGATTAAATATAATCTCTCATCTCCTCTTCGCATGATCTCCTCCATGTCACCCTAGGACGACCCACTCATGGCTTCCCATTTGGATTCCACATGAGGGCCTGGCGCGCAATGTCATTCGACAGTCCCCTCAACGAATGCCAGATCCATCTGCATTTTCTCCTAGATATTCGTTGAGCAGTCGGCTCTCACCTGGCTACCATTCTAGGTGACTCGCCATCATCGTGAACTTGAAATCGTCAATATTAGGTGGTTAGAAGCAGATACACAGCCTGGCTGACTGATGAGTGCCGACTAGCACGAAAGCTAGCTCATGCAAGTCTTCCTACAGATTGCCTCCAACCATCTGATATCAACAAATTTACAGTGCACCATGATGGCGAGCTACCTAGATTGCTGGTTACACTGCAATCTTGACTCATAGAATTCAGTCTGCACCAAATAAAGGACCAGACACTATACTAGTCAGCGGCTAGTGTCCAGTCAGAGTGCTTTTGACTTCGTCAGTTGTGTTGATAAAATCAAATATTTCTATGCAGACTGCAAACTAATTAACACCATCAAGTTAGTTCACTTATTTCACCCCATACATACGGACTGTTAATAACCTGATGATGTTTTGATTACATTCTGTTGCTTGAAGTTAGATAACTTTCAAAGCTAAAAAGATAATAATAATAATAAAGATAAAAGAATAATACTTTGATAAAGCTATTAGCATTAAATAGCGAAACGTCAGTAAAAACAGTATCGTTTTGTTTTTCATTCATTACTATTATTATTATTATAATTGAGAAGATATTTGTTATTATACCATTAGAATGGCTATTTTTTCAGCTAATGATTAATGTTTGTGAATTCTGGGATGTTAAGAGGGTTACTCCTTGAATGATACGATGGCAATCTATTCAGGAATAAATACAAAATTAACACGCTAGGATTCAAATAAAAGCCTGGATCAGTCAAAACACCTACCGTCGAGTTGTGTATGTTTCTGATAAACTTCTGTATTCCTTTCCATTCTTTGTCAGTTTTACAGGCTTTTTATGAAAGAACTGTAAGAAAACAAAACTCTTGTGCTTAAAACTGGTAATGTCATCATGCATTGTGAAAAAATTACAAATATATTTGGGGAGGGACTTATTTATTTAGTTTAGAAATTCCTACAGGATTTGTCAGCTTCTGTACACATTCTTTCACATAACTCCAGGCAAAAACAATTTTTAGCAACGACTTCATTTTCATAGCTATCTAATATTTTTTTATTTCATTTTTTTATTTTTGATTACAGCTTGATTCCACAGGTATGGAATTTTCAGTATGTGATATCGGTAGCACGAATTTCGCAGGCCGACCATAGATATCACTTGTGCGGCGGCAGAGGATCGAACCCCGGGCCATTTGCATGATCGGCGAGAGTCATAACCGTTGTGCCCCCGACGCTCTGCAGTCATATTTACAGGTGGATGACAATCAAGAATAATGAGTACATTTGTTATGTGTTCTCTGTAATCTTTGTTATGTGTCACAATGGCGACTTTTAATTTAATACTTTTATGCTTTAGAGGATGCAAATAGGATAATTTAACTAGGTCAAACTAAACTGTCTGAAGAGTGTAACAAATTAACAGTGAAGGCTTAAATGACAACAAGCGCATTGCATTATATTCCTCAGGACAAAATGCAGTCACCATAGTAACAATAATATTTCTGATTATGATAATGGTAACGATGATAATTCTAAAAGAGACGCAATAATAATGATGTATGCTAAAAGGATTACATATTAGTTTGTTTATTAGATATATCACACATTGAAACAGTACTATTCACAGGATGACGTTTCGAACAAAATTTATTGTTCATAATCATATCAATCGTAATCACACAACTTCGAAACTTGAGGTTTATAGTTTTGTTTGTCCTCTCCTATATGTCGTAGGGGTAGTAGAATTTTCCAGATATCTGGGACAGGTGTTGAATCATTCCTATTACATGTATTTGCAGTTGGTTCGATAAACAAAGCTTCTGTTATCAATCTCTACCTCCACTATGTGACATTAGATTTTAAAACTGTCATCCTATCCCATCCTATTGTGTAAATGTGTGTACCTGCATGTAGTGCTATAGCGGAATTATTCTCCACATTTCTTATCTTATTCGGACCGACCAATCTAGATTTTGATAGGTTTTTATGTTCGGCTAGTCGGACTGCCCATGTTCTACTAGTTTGACGTATCTATTTGACCTGACAATTATTTCAGGGTATTAGATAAACCAAAATTGTTTTGTCCTATCGGCTCCACTGGATCCTTTAATCGACAAAGCTTGTTTCTAATTGAGTTTGTGAGTTTGAATGCTGCTTTTATTCCTGCCTTATTAAGAATTCCGCGTAAGGTTTCCGAGGTTCCTTCCTCGTATGGAATTACTACTGGTGATTTAGATTCCTTATTGTTGGTGTTCTCTTGAGCATATTTGACATGCATATCGTCATTAATGTTATTGTTATCATCATCATTATCACTACTATCATTATTTATTTTATTTTTACGTTTTCTTACATATTTCCTTCCTAACTTATCAGGGTAATTATTTTTCAAGGCTTCTTTTAGGTGTATCACTTCTTGTCTTAGATTTTCCTTGATAATACTTAGTTTTTGTGCTCTGGCACTAAAACATTTCATCGATCCTATTTTGACTGACATAGGATGAGATGAACAGAAGTGGAAATACCTGTGTGAATGTGTGGGTTTCCTGTAAACAATCATGTTTAACTTCCTATCTTCATTCCTTTTTACGCTTCAATCTGACATTGGAAGCTCCCCTTCCTGACTTTCCAATTCATAAGTGAATTGAATTGCCTCAAAATTTGAGTTCATGTACGCACCTGCGTTCTAATGCCGTTGGGTGCGTACTGATGAAGGTTCCCAAACTAGGACGAAGTAGCTGTCCATTACTCCCAGGTTTTCCAATGGTTCTCTAACTGATGTCAGCTCATGATGAGATCCTGTAACCAATCAAATTCCTTCAAACCAACATTAGAGTTAATGTGTTCGAAAAATCTATCTTTATCCTGTATTCTTAGTACGGTGAATGTGTCATCTACATACCTCCACCATACTTTTGAGGTGGGGGTGTACGTTTCAGTCGCCGTGTTTTCCCACCTATCCATGAATATATCTGCTACAACCGGAGATATTAGAAATCCCATAGGAACTCTCTCAGTTTGTTTGTATATTTTCCCTTGAAATTTAAATACTGTGGAAGTCAGGAAAAGCTGCACTCCGAGCACTATGTCCTCAAGTGGCACTTTTGTCCTAAGTTCGAGTTCTTGGTCAGAAATGAGTTTATTTCTGACTGCCTTTGTAGCCATATTTAATGTTATACGTGCTAATAAACTGACATAATCAAAACTAATCATTTTCTCTTCATTACGTAATTTAAAATTATCTAACTTGTTTTTAGTTCATAAGAATTAGTTAGTCTAGATTTCGAGTGGCTTTTTAGGGGATTTAATACCATGACTAAGTATTTAGGTAATTCATAAGTAGGTGAATTTCTAAAATCCACTATGGGCCTAATAGGGTATCCTGACTTATGAACTTTTACAACACCATACATCCTACTGGGGTTATTAGTTTTGGGCATTAAATTAAACCCCTTTGACTCACCTTCAGTAGGATGTGTGGTGTTGTTAAATAATAAAGGTCAAGGGATAAACTTTTATTAGGAACGGATAATATTTTTATTTTGTAATAACTATTCTGTTGCTATAAGGAGTTCATTAGGATCTTTGTTAGAGTACCTTAACATGTCTTATGTTGAGAACATGTCCCTTGATTTAATTTCTAAATTGCGATTCTAAAGGAGATTTGTAGATGATATCATTTTGATATGTGATGATTATGAAGATGCGAGTCGTCTATTAGATAGACTATACTTTGTAAAGAATCACATAATTCTTACATGTGAGGAATAAGGTCGAAACCAGCTTGCACTTTTAGACATATTCTGAGTCGAAGAGATGATGGTTCAATAAGACAATCAATTAATAGAAAGCCATTTGGACGGGGCAGTACCTTAATTTTCACAGTTTCTGTCCATTACAGTATAAGAGAGGCTTGACGAATTGTCTGATAAGAGGATTCAACGTATTTGTACGGCTAATGTTATAGAGAAGGAAAACGAAATATTGATGGATATTCTTGTTGAAAACGGATATCCTTTAAAATTTCTAAACAGGTGTAGAAGTCAATTAGTTTCTAAACCTACAGTCTATACCGGCCCTAGGGAAAATGTTTTCATCGAGTAACCACATAACAAGGAAATAAACAGTAGGATTTTGAGGCAAAGGTTGAATTCGGTCATCCGTAGGACCTATTATGCAGCTCGGCTTGTAATTGTCGAAAAAGCCAAGAATATGTGCCACTGCAAACCTCAAGAGTGCACAAGTCATTATGTCACATCCCACACTATTTACCAATTTTCGTGTGTGCATAGGGAGAAGTAATCTTGCTTTGCATGTGAGAGTGAGTGAGCATATCCTTAAATGGCTAGAAAAACAAATGAATTGTGAAAAACCAATAGATTCAGGTGTCAGACTACCAACTTTGAGATGAACCATAAGACTGATGTTAACTCAGCCCTTAAGGTCATCTATAAAAGCGGTCAAGGGCGCTTATTGAAATACGCTGAGGCTAGAGCTATTCATAAACTTAAGCCGCCCCCCACCCCCGTGTATTCAAAAACAGTTTATTAATACTCTTAACCTACCATGGGAATCTTTATTTGATTGAATTACCAAACGTTATGTTAATCATTCTTAAATCCTTAAATCTTTTTGTCACATTGTTTAATTTACCTTTTTCATATCTATCGACGTGACAAGTAAATGTATAATCAGATTATTCGAAATGTATAGCGGAAATACATCACTGGTCACAATTTCTCATTAGAACCCCTGGTAATTTCGTTTTGTAGTCAGTGAGTCCAATTTCTTTTGAAGTATTAGTTTTAAGGAATTGGGAATTCGATCATAAATTGATATCAGTTAGAAAACCATTGATAATCCAGAAGCCAGAAGTTCTCGGGTTCAAAATCCAGTCAGTGAGCACTACAAATGAGCTCAAAACTTGGACAAAACATCTATGAAGTGCCTTCTGGTTTTTAGATGTCCTCTAACGGATATTACTCAGTGATAAAACTTGAAACCAATGAAATCCCAACAAACAAACTCGTGATACGAAAATAATCCTAAACAGAACAAAAGGAGATGATCAAAAGAGCTTGATAATATAATGAAAATATATGAGCGTTGTAGTGTCGCATGAACGATAGCAAAATATAGTAGAGATTAAACGGTAGGGTACAGTTACAGCTAATGGAACTGCAGTTTATTTAACAGATGGCTGTTACCGTTGCAATTTAGGATGCACATTTCGTCGTTACTCAGACTGAGTATCTGGTGAGCCCATATCCCAATGAAGTCCTTCGCCGTGGGACCCTTTCCAGGCATCATATAAAACATATGATGCTATTCAGAAAAGTAGGTATAACTAGATAGTTTGAAAGAGGGATCTACCTATCCACAAAATTGTAAATAATTATATTATATATACTCTCAGTTTTGAAGTTCACTCGAATTACAACTCTAATTTGGAATTTGTCCAACTATTCACTCCAACTTTTCCACCTCATTATCTTACTGATAGCTGTGAAATAATTTAATTTAATTTGTATCAGAACAACACAAATGCTGAGGTTCACATGAATCATTCAGTACTGATGAACCACAAATTAAATTCACGAAGGAAGCATCATCAGTTGTTTTTGTTTCGCTAACCACGAGATTAGATTGGAGCTCAATAAATCATACGTTCGTCAATGCACACATTTTACATCATTTGTCTTTCTTACAATATAAATAGGATCTCATCAACATTTTCACGTTCCGAAGCAGAAACACCGGCAAAGCAATTACTTTGAGTGGTAAAATGAAGGAAATAGAAAAATCAGTGGATAAGAACACGTATGCAAAACAATTTGTGAAACCTGCCAAAATAATATATGTATATATATATATATATGAACGAATCAATAAAAGCATAGTATGAAGGCAAAAACACGTTTTCAAGCAATTTTATCAAACAAGTCTTACAGAGCCCTTGGCGTTATGTTCCTCATACAGGATCTTACCACCAGGTAATCCATAATTTCTACTTAAACTTGAAAAATTCGGTGGCAACCATGGTAAACGGCTTTTTGGAGATGCATCCCAACGATTATTCATTTTATAACATTCTAATTCTATTACACCTGACTGTCATCATTAGGTATATCCCATTTTATAGTATTCGTTTGTTACATGAATTCATTACATTCACGATAAATATTTTGAATTGGATAATATCAATAAATGGATATCATGTGTTCAGATCAATAATTCAGTAAGTGAAAATGTGTTCTAAAACAGACATTTTGTAAATTATATGTATTTGACTTTATCTTGCTAATTAATGTCATCATTTTATAGAAAAAAGATTCTAACAACTTGTTTTTGAAAGCTATTAGTTCCATTTGTGAATTTCGATGAAACAGTAAAATGTTATGAGGTATTTCCCATTGATTAGTTATACTGGACCGAAATGTTAGGTCACTGTTGACATGTGAAACGATAGTGTCACATCCCAATGTGTTTACCAGCTTGCATGTATTTGTGGTCACACTTAGAAAGGGAGAACCCATCAGCCTTTGCAATTCAGGACTACAGAGCACATCCTGAATTGGTTAAAAGAACAAATCGAAACCAGCAGATTTAATTAACTCTGGAAATAGAGAATACCGTGGACAAGTGATCATATGGTAGATTTAGAAAGTGTCTTAAAACCCATATTGAAAAGATGTTTGAGTCAAATACTTAAATTTGTTGACGTCATTAGCCATGAAAAAACTCAAACTTGTCTTATATGTTCGAAAAATCATTTGCTTTTATTTTTTTCTGCATGAATCAAGCGCCGAGTGAGAAGTAGATACATGTGAAAATTAAATTTGTAAAGTCTCAGCGAGATCCAATAAATAATTCTAGTAATTCGGTAAACTGGTCTGAAATTCTCCAGGTCCTATTTTTCTACCGCTTATCGGTGACTGTGGCTGTGATGTTGCATGATATTATATAAGTATCTGTAAAAAGTACTTGTGTGATCAGAATGTCTGAAATGCGCTACGTAAATACACATAACACGTTCTAGATAAATTACATCTTATCGTTTTGAGTGGAATACAGGGCTTCAAGTTTAAGCCATGAACTTTCAATTATGATGCTGTCTTTTCTATGTGGTGACATTTCTAATCCACACAGCCTTTCCTTCTTTCGAGGATTACTACCGGCTAGGTGAGTTTTAGGATTCCGCCAGCCTAAGGTTGAACCCAGACTATGTAATGGGTTGGCGAGCACTTCACCTTTGAACGGCCGACGTACTAAGGTCTAACCCATGACCTTCAGATCAATAACCATTTGGCCACTTGGACTTATTACTACGTTCTGTGTGTGAAATCGGCCATCCCTAGATCACCAGAGGGTGATACTAAGTCTTATTTTGATGGCGTCCACCTTTCTATATGTCTGTCACTTTCTAGTCTAACCAGGATCTTGATATTTATCAGCACCACTAATTAAATGAAATGTAACCTCTGGGTGACGCTAAGATACAGGAAAACTTCTTTAAGTATTCTAAGAACATATTTTTTACATTCTCATTAAGCTGAGCGTAGAATACAGTGTAACAGTCTGTGTTATAACTGCACTGAATTAAAGTAAAACCCGTCGCCAATTGTTATAACTGTAGGTGAATTGAATGATAGATCGTTTTCACCTTATTCTGTCTGCGCCTGAACTAATCTGTCTATCTGCTCGTCGTACCTTCCGACTTAGTAAAGCACGCAAATATCAAAAGACAAAGGCTGGACTGTGACTGTGTATTGAGGTGCAACAACGATAAAGAAAGCCATGGTATTTATACATTTTACAACAATATGGACAGCTAACAGCATTTGACCTTAATAGCCAATAACAAAGTGTGTGAGAAATGATAATATGCCATATGTGCGACATTGACAGTCAGTAACAAAATGTGTGGGAATGTTAATATACCATATATACAAAATTAGCAGTCAATACCAAAATGTGTGAGAATGATAACATACCATATATGCAAGTTTAAACAGTCAATACCAAAATATGTGGGATCCTATCAGTCTGTAAATGTATAATGTATTTAAATCCGGCAGTTTGTATGCTAAATATGTTTACATTATATGAGGAAATTAAGTAACAAACTATAATTAATGGAAAAGAAACAGGGTTAATAATATTATAACTGTGATATTGAAAGACTGCTTTCTCAGTCCTAGACATATGAAGAGGTGAACTGATATGAGACTATTTAAATCAATTTAGAAAACTCAAAGCGATATGGTTCAGTTCTGTTGCTGTCCAGTACTTTGACTTCATACAGGCTTTATTTTCTCTTCACATTATTTCATGTATTTTGTCAACCGAAATATTCACTTTTATTTGTTCCCATACTTCTTTGCTTTGGTAGATGTTCAACTGCTGTTACGTCACCAAGTGGATATTGTTTTTCATTTCATTTAGAATTTCAAGCTAGTGTTTATTTGTGTGGCTCATGTGATAAACAAAATAATGTTGAATTACCTGTTTTCATAGCTACGTAATTCAAGTCCGTCACATATCTGCTTTTATCGCATATCTGATCATTAATCACCTTCAAAATGCTTTTGCTGCCTATGTGAAAGGAAAATCTCTAAACGCGAAAATCTCCATCAGGACAAGCTCCCGAATATAACCACTTCGAAATGCGTATATCAGTTCACCTGCTTCTGTGGAGCTGCGTACACAGGTCGTTTTGCGCTCATCGTTTCAGAATGTGTTAGATAACACCGCCCAGCATGACTGAAAAGAGGAAATGCTGGTTTAGTCAGAGGTGCTTTAACTGGGTTCCTCGTCAGCACCTGTCAAAACGTCTCAGCAGACTAATCATTCAGAGTCACTTACAGAGTAGGCAGAAATCTACCAAAAGCAGTGTGTTTCTGACTTCTTTATGCCGCAGAAGCCCTTACCATATTCTTGAAGAAGCCGCACCTATGTGTTGAAAAGAAGCTAAACGAATCTCCACATCTACCGTGAATCCACTCCTGTTTATTATTATTATTCCCTCTGTGTTCCCAGTGGAACATAGGGATTCAACTACACGTCTCCACTTGCTTCTGTCTTCTGCTGTACATTTCACCTGCATCCATGTTAGCCCATACTGTCTCGACTCCTCTTCACACGATCTCCTCCATGTCACCCTTGGACGTCCCACACGCGGCTTCCCTTTCGAGTTCCACTTGAGGGCCTGACGCGTGATGTCACCCAGCGGCCTCCCCAGCAAGTGTCGGACCCATCTCCACTTTCTCCTGAATATTTGTTGGGCAATTAGTTCTTGTTTTGTTTGTTTCCATAATTCCTTGTTGGTGGTGATTCTTTCCGGCCACCTGAACTTCAGTATAGAGTGAAGACAGTTGTCAATAAAGGTCTGCAACAGGCTGTTGGGAATATTCTTTGTGACCCGCCCAACAAGTTTCTGATCCGTATAGAAGAACTGACTTGACGTTGTTTGTATTGAAGATCTGACCGAATTTAGTTGTTTATGCTGGCTGAGTGACGAAGATTTCCAGATTGGTTTCAGGTTGATGAATGTGTTTCTCGCCTTCCCGATTCTCGCCCGATTTGACATCCTCATCCGTTCCTCATGTAGTTGAGAGAATGCTCCCTAGATAAGTGAGCGAATGAAGTAACCTCTTTCAAATCCCTACCGTTGATGGTGATTGGTGCTGGATGTTGTTGTTGCTTGGTTATTTCCATGACCTCCGCCTTGTCTATGTTCACCTGTAATTCTGTCTTTCACTTCTGTTTAACTTCTTATTTATTCTTTTCCACCCCTTTATTGTTTTCATCTTCAGTTATAAAATCTATATAATCTATAATTCTATGCCCAATCTGTTCAAATTTGTCTTCATTAAAAAGCTGTTTTGTATGTTACTCAACTATCTTCCTAATTCCATAAAAAAGTTTTTTTACGCCACTTTATATATATATATATATATATATATATATATATATATACTTGTATTGATCCTTTATCACACCTTCAGACCTTTATATCAGGTTGAAAAGTAAATGATTATTGTAACTACTCTAATTTGTGCACAAAAGTGATATTGTTCAACTTTTTGGGGATGAAATCGCCGAAAGATACCTTTTCTAAGCTTCCTATTTTTCCTCTCTTTAGAGTCACTTTAGCACATTAGTAGATACCTATCATGTGGCAGAAATAATCACTTACACTGAAGGTTTTCCAAATAAGACTGTAGGGTATAACGCTCATCAATAAAGTTAATCAGTTGATGATATTGATTACAGTATAGTAGTTCCTAATTCATTTATAGATGACGAGTGTTTGCCCTAGCTTTTTTCCCATGATAGTTGAAATATATTCCTTTCAACTATTTACGGTTAATTAGCTGTGACCCGATATGAAAAACCCTTATGGGAAAGAGGAAAACATATATTTTTTGCTGTCAGCTGACTGTTGTCTTCACACTCTGTAGACTATTGAGTTATTACTCAGCTGAATATTTCATAACACAAGTTTCTATGCGATTTAAGGATCGTTCTATCCTTGCAAAATATAGATGGTGAACTTATTCTCACTTGGTTTCATCATTTCTCTGTTCTGTGAGCTGAATGGTTTGATTTCTAAGTTTTTTATTGTTCTTCCAGCACTAACTTTATTATGAAGTGACCTTTAACAATTATTCGTGGAAGAAATACCCAGACACGTTTATAAAGACCGAAATTTACGAGTTGAAAAAATAACCCTCAAGTCTGGAAAGTCAAATACTGAGTCATCGAGACAATGAGTTGCAACTAACCACATTCAGAATCACCAGGAGAGACGGAGATGTCATCTATGAGGAATTCCGAAAGCTTACTTCACACTAAAGCTATCCTTAGAGATGTTTTCTTGAAGGTTAGTGAAAGGTTCACAATTAAACAATCACAGTGACGGAACATAATAATACAAAAATAAGACACTGAAGACATAAAGATGAAGACTAGACATCAGTTAAATTCAGTTATCCGTCTTACAATTCCCACAACTTTACGGCCCAACATACCTCCTACCATTGACATTAGTGAATAACTATTCTGTTACCTAAATTTTT